AAATAATACTTATTCATATATATGTGCATTTTTTTTGAGAAAAAATGAAAACTCAAATGCTTACGTGCATATTAAGTGCTGTCTCCAAATTAACCATTAGATAGTATGGCCCTAGATTCTCTCAGGCTCAAATAGAAAACAGCATGTTCCCGTTCTGCATCATCTCCTAGGAATTAATTCTCTGGAGCTTATGGTTTGCTTAAGCTTGCAGGCCATTTTTATGTTGATGGCCTCTTGAAATGTTCACAGTGGCCTTCTGAGCACCTTTTATTTAGCCCTTATATAAACATTCTTTTTTAACTGGCTGTTTTTTTAGTTGGCCATCTCTTAACAGTATTTAGATATAATCAGTTTTCTTTGAACAGTGAATCCTGTATAGTTTATGTTCTTTTCACACATAAGATAGTTTAATACAGATTTTATCTTTTGATTACAAGGTATTTTTTGTGTGTCACTGACATTTTCATAATTCCATAATAGTATAAATAGTCTTTGAATTTATTTATGAAAACCATCTTAGAATTCCACACATTTGTTTTTAAAAATTGAGTCTATAGGAAGCATTTCTAGATCTTATGGATGCCTAAATATGACTGTCGTAAAGAGAAATTTGGAATCTAAAAATTAAGCCAAGACAATAGGAAAGAATCGTTTTTCCAACAGATGGCGCTAGCAGTTCCTCAAAAGTTTAAACATAGAGTTACCATATGGCCTAGCAGTTCTCTTCCTAGGTATATACCCAAGAGAATTGAAAACATGTCCGCACAAAAATTTGTAGACAGGTCTTCAGAGTAGCATTGTTCATAATAGCCAAAGTGTAAAAACAGTCCAGATGTTCAGCCAACTGATAGATAAACATAATGGGGTATATCTGTATAGTGGAATATTATTCAGCCATGCAAAGGGATGAAGTACTGGTACACACTACAACCTGGATAAACCTTAAAAACATTTATGCTAAGTGAAAAAAGCCAGACACAAAAGGCCACATATTGTATGATTCCATTTATATGAAATATCCAGAATAGACCAGCCCATTGAGACAGAAAGTAGATTGTTGTTTGCCATGGGCTGGGGAGAGAGGGCTCATGAGTACAGGGTTTCCTTTTGGGGTGATGAAATGTTCTAGAATCACATAGTGGTGATGGTTGTACAACTTTGTGCATATACTAAAAACCACTAAATTGTACACTTTAAAAGAGTGAATTTTGTGGTATATGAATTATATCTTTTTAAAAATATTTATTTATTTAGCTAGCAGTTGTGGTCCTTAGTTGTGGCACACAGGCGGGATCTACGTTGTGGCATGTGGGATCTTCTAGTTGTGGCATGCAGGATCTTTAGTTGCAGCTTGCAAACTCTTAGTTGCGGCATGTGGGATCTAGTTCCCTGATCAGAGATCGAACCCAGGCCCCCTGCATTGGGAGCATGGAGTCTTAGCTACTGAACCACCAGGGAAGTCCCTATGGTATATGAATTATATCTTAATGAAACTGTTATTTTTTTAAAAGGAGTATAAAGGGGTCCTCAGACCAAAAAAGTTGACAGCTTGGTTAAAAAGAAAAATGCTCCCAATTAAATAATATGTCACACATTATTATTTAGAATTTTAAAAACATTTATTGAATGAGCTCTTTTAGAATTACCTAGACATAAATTATCATTTGTCACTCTTATGGATACATAACAAGAAAAAAGCAAAAATAAATTTAGTAAAGAATTCCTAAAAAATTTTAAAGCATATGGTTAGAATTTTGAAAATAAAGTTTTAAGATCTATTAAACTTTATTTTAACTGTAATAGTGAAGTGAATCTTCATTGAACATTTTAAATACTTAAAATGTAACCCACTTTTATGTTTATTGTTACAGGGATCTCCATCCACCAAGCGAAGGGGTCAGATGTTACAGCCAATCATAGAAGGAGAAACTGCACATTTTTTTGAAGAAATCAAGGTAATCCTTAAGAGAAATTATTCTCTGATCTTTTTCCTAAAGGAAAAATTGAAATCATGGCATGTTTGATATTCTGTTTGGATATATTTTTAGGAAGAAGAAGAAGAAGATGGTGTTAGTTTGTCCTCTGAGTTAACTGATATCTTGAAAACTGCTGTACAGGCACAGTCTTCACTGGAAAACTCAGAATCTGATATGGAAGAAAATCAAGAAAAACTGGCTCTAGATCTCCGATTGTCAAGTACTCGAGCAGCTTCTATGTATGTATCCTGGTTTGTGATTTTAGCCTATTCATGTAATAAAATTTATATGCAAAGAAATTCCGTGTTAAATAATTGAGTAAAGAAAAGAAATGCACCCATTTTGAAAAGTGTGCTTTACAAATACATGTGGTGATTCACATTTTCTTTATTGAAAATTAGTGTGTTTTAAAAATTAAAAAAACGGGCTTCCCTGGTGGCGCAGTGGTTGAGTCCGCCTGCTGATGCAGGGGACACGGGTTTGTGCCCCGGTCTGGGAAGGTCCCACATGCTGCAGAGCGGCTGGGCCCGTGAGCCATGGCCGCTGAGCCTGCGCGTCCGGAGCCTGTGCTCCGCAATGGGAGAGGCCACAACAGTGAGAGGTCCGCGTACCGCAATAAATAAATAAATAAATAAACCCAAAATCCTACGTTTGCTGTATGACAAAGTGCTGGAACCAGCTGAGAGTCATCTGTTAGTTTGTGCTCTTTGAGCTTCTTTACCTGATGTGGCCTTTGGTTCTAGTTGTTAGCCCTGGCGTCACTTTAGGATCACGTGGAAAGTTGTTTTGTTTTTGTTTTTGTTTTAAATACTTATGCAGAGCCCTACCAGCAGCTATTCTGATTTAGTCGCTCCAAGGTGAAACCTAAGACATTGGTATATTCTAAAAGCTCCCCAGCTGGCTTGATTTTGCAGCCAGGGTTAGAAACACTGTTAAGAACATAATGAATCAAAAGTGCCCTGTCAAATGTTTTCTTCCCATTTCAATTTTAGGCCCGAATTACTGGAACAACTTTGGAAAGCCAGAGCTGAAAAAAAGAAACTACGTAAAACGTTACGGGAATTTGAAGAAGCATTTTATCAACAAAATGGAAGGTTTGTTGAGCATCACAAAATCGAATCTTCTTTCTTCTTAAACTCCCAAGTGCCCATATGTTGAAATAAAGAAATATATAAGATTAGAAATAAATTGTGCATATAAGGATGTTAGCATTGAAAATAACGGTAAAAAACATTCCTTTATACTGTGCAGCCCTGCTCTTAATGGAAAGAAAAAGTCAGAGCTGGAGTAAACAACATCTGACAAAATATTTCAGGATTGTCCTAGAGAACGCTTGGTTGAGTGGCAGTTATTTTATGTTCCTTAATTCAGTATCCTCATCCTTTTGGAAGTGTTTGTGAAACGAGATCTCCTTTTGGAAAGGGTCCCAAATATGAGTGGTATCCTAACTAGTTTGGATTCTTATACTGAGACCATTGCTGCTTAGGCTGCATGTTGGGTCATTCTAGGGCACGTATTTCCAAGGTGTGTATCAGTGTGGCAGTCATGTGGCTCCCCTATAATACAATATGGCAAGTGCCTTTATCTAACTGGGTAATACCCAGTTGACCCAGTGGGACTCTTTTAAAAGTAAGAAAAATACATTCTATTTCAGATTGTGGCCAGAAATGAGGATTATTTATCTCAGGCCTCAGAAAAGTTTTTCCATGTTACCAGATGGTCTTACCAAGCCAATAGCTCTATAGTAGTCCCCCCTCTTCACTTTCTCTTTGCAGTTTCAATTACTCCATGGTTAATTGCGGTCCAGAAATATTAAATGGAAAGTTCTAGAAATAAACAATTCATAAAGTTTAAGCTGTGCAGTGTCCTGAGTAGTGTGATGAAATCTCGTGCCGGCCCACCCAGGACGTGAAGCATCCCTTTGTCCAGCATATCCTGCCCTTCAGTCAGTTAGTATCCATCTTGTTTGTCAGATCCGTCGTCACAGTATCTCAGTGCTTGTGCTCAAGTAACCCTTACTTTACTTAATGCCCCAAAGCGCAAGAGTAGTGATGCTAGCAATTCAGATATGCCAAAGAGAAGCCACAGAGCACTTCAGGTGAAAAGGGGAAAGTTCTTTACTCAGTGAGGCTACGAAAAAAATCACGTGCTGAGGTGCTCTCCGATCTATAATAACGAATCTATCCATGAAATTTTGAAGAAGGAAAAGGAAATTCCTACTAGTTTTGCTGTCATACCTCAAACTGCAGAAGTTATGGCCACAGTGCATGATAAGTGCTTAGTTAGTACGGAAAAGGCTTTAAACTTGTACTGTAAGATGTTTTGAGAGAGCCCGCATTCACATAACTTTTATCACAGAGTATTGTTATAATTATTCTATTTTATTATTAGTTATTGTTAATCTCTTACTGTGTCTAATTTATAAATTAAACTTTATCATAGGTATGTATGTATAGTATATATAGGGTTTGGTTTCAGACATCCACTGGGGTCTTGGAATGTATCCCCACGGATAAGGAGGGGGACTACTGTGTTTGAGAGTCTTCTATGTAGGTTGGCATATATGGTTAAAAAAATCTCAAGTGTGTTTTCCAAGTACCTTCTAATTCTTTGTCTTATTGGAAAAAAACTTTGCTTGTAATTAGGATAGTTTGATGCTTTACCTGGTTATTAAACTGAATTGCTTTGGGTCAGTAATATAAAGTGAGAAAAATGATTTTTTCGCTACCACTAAGATGTTATACTTTTACATCTTAATTCACTGAAGCCAGAGTTAAGTAATGTATGGAATGTATGAAATGACTCAGCGTAGCCTCTAGCACTTAGTATACACTCACAGACCTGACAGAGTCTAGTAGCTCATGTCTTATTAAAATATTTGATTATCTGTAGTTACCTGCAATCATCATTGATACTAATATCATCAATTAATCTGTCAATAGAGAAATACATCAAAATTAGAAGTGTTCTAGGAATATTCCATTGGGATGAAGGGAATTAGTCCAATAATCTTTTTTTTTCTTGCAGAACAGTTTTTTATTTGAGTTTGTATTGGGTAATATTCTGTCTCTCATTACGACAACTTCTGGGACTTTATTTTCCAGATGATCTCTAGGTTTTATTTTCTCCCCTAGGAATGCCCAGAAAGAGGATCGTGTTCCAGTGCTTGAGGAGTACAGGGAGTACAAGAAAATTAAAGCCAAGCTTAGGCTTCTTGAAGTTCTTATCAGCAAACAAGATTCTTCAAAATCCATATAAAATATGGTCCTTGAAAACATCATAAAATCAGTTGTATTCCCTGAAGCTATCATCATGTGTACTTGGCTGGTACTTAAGTTCATTTTGTCAGGCACTCACAGAGTCTCATTTTGTACTTGCTGGTGGTGCCACTAGAGAAATGATGGGAGGGTAAGTAGACCCTGTCTAGGGAGTGTGATGTTCCATGTTAACCACAGACTGCCCCTCTACCTTTAGCAAACATCCACTTTTCTTCATTGTTTTGTACTACAGATACATCGTGTTAGTAGAAGACTAATATTTTTATCATTTCAACTTTAAGAACTTTGGAGATAGAAGCTTTTTGTTATTACCAACTTTATTATTTTGTTTTTCATTACTCAAGAAAATTGAGAGGAAAATCTTCACATTGAATTCTTCTTCAGTTGCCTTTTTCTTACAGAATGACTGAAAATTTGAAAGAAAAGCCTATAAATGTGCACATATGCAACTATGTTCTGTGTTTTCTTAGAAAACCAAAATCAACTGAAATTTCAAGTCCTACTGTGGAACATATTTCTGTTAAATTCCCAAAGTGACACTTTCTCACAGGTAGTATGTTAGCAGAATTTTGCAATTCAGTGGTCACACAGCTCCTGGATGAAGATAACAGCGGGTAGACCAAAAAGTGACCTTGCTTATTAGTATAGTGAAAACACACAGCACACATCACACACAGAACTGAATTATATCACATGCTGCCTTTGGGACTTAAGTTACTGTTTGTTTCCTCAGTTACCGTTTATCAGTTGGTGATGATGTGATTTGTCTGGATTAGATCCTGCATTTTTTCCCCCTACCCACCTCCAGATAATGTGAGAAAATAGCCATGTCAGTATGTAGGAACTCTGATGGTGCTCAGATTTGTGTGCTCAATCAAATGGGCTTAAATTGGCAAAAGAATCATTATGCCTGAAGTAAATCTATTCTTAACAAGGGCTATACCACTGCATTTTTACATGTACCTTCAAGGGGTTGCATCATTTTTTTTTCTTTTTTAATCAGCAAAATCCATAAAGAAAACATCCTCTAAAGGGATCACCTTTTGCTCAATCACAAGCTGTTTAAAGCATCTGGTTATAGGTGTATTGTGGTATGCCCCTTGTCATACACTCTAAGCATATCTTTTTTTCTCTGGCTTTGCATGGCTTTTCTTCAGGTTCTTTCCTGGTATAATTCTGCTAATTATTTTCACAGAATGGTGACTTTATTTGTGCTAACAATATGATAGTCATTAACAGCATATTCTGATCAGGCTTAATCTAAGTGTTCTTTTTTTCCTGGTGCTTTTTTGGATTGATGAGTGTCTCACTTTGTGCCCATGTTTTGCATGCAGTGACTCATGCATGGTTTTCTTAACTAGCTAATATTCATAATTTGTTCCATACAAAAATGGACTTTTACAGTATCCTTTAATAAGGTGAGGGAAGCATGAACCTCAGACTTCTGGCACTATTACATAGCACATGAAGTAGCTTGATAATAAGTAGCATTTCTAGTACTTCACATTTCACCTGTGTGTGCAATGCCTTTTTTGGGGGGAGGGAATGTTCCTTGGTAGTGAACGTGTCATTGGGGAATAAAGCACTAAATCCAGCCCTTTTCGTGTGGTTTCCTTTTGATACAGCTAGGTTATTCATAATGTACACCTAGAAATGTGAAATTGAGAACACCAAAAGATGTTATCATTTTGATTTGAATTCATCATGCAGTGTACATTTAATTTCTTTCAGTCTCCAACAGGAGTATATCCAAACATCTTATTTAATGTGCACTGTATATTGTTTTATATGAGTGTTTTATTTTATATACCACATGCAAAAATGTCCATATGCACTATTTAAATGTTTTAAATAATATATTCCTTCTTTATAATGCTAAATCTATATGAGTACCATATTTTTATAAGTCAGTGGCCTGACTGGTTTCATTTTAGAATTAACAGCTGCTTCATGATGTTGGTTATTCACTGTTAATGTTTGGCTGTGAGTAGAATAGATAAAAAGTGGCATGGCAGCACTTATGCTATGTGACAGTATTGTGTGTCATAGTTCAGTAGTAAGTGGTAGAATTAGGCAGTTTGTGATAATTTTACTTTGGTACAAGTAAAAACTGTATATCTATATACAAACAATATATAGATATATACAACTACAAGCATAATTGCATTGCTGTGTTTGGCACTTCATTGTATAGACTTTTGTAATAAAAGAACTTTAATGTTCTAAGTCATTGTAAATGTTTTTTGTTTTTTTCACTAGATGTTTAAAAAGAAGAAATAAAACCCTCAAGTGTTCCCTTGCCTTAATGTTCTCAGGCTTTGTTTGAATTACCCCAACCAGGGACCATGTGGGGAGACAGCAAGGTTACTAAACCACGTGACTGTCTGCAGCTCTAGGGAGTGGTAAGACAAGGAAAGGCCATGTTGTTGATTCTCTTTGGAAATCTAGGGAGAAGATGCAGAGAGAATAGTCAGCATTTCTTGTTGCAGTGAATTATCTTATTAAGAAAACTTGACATGCAGTCTCTAAGAGAAGAGCTTGGCTTAAGGAAGGTGGGTATATTTAACAATTCCTTTATTTGAGTTTTACAGTCCAGGGACTGTTGAGCACAATGTGGAAGTCTATGGTCAAATGATGTTACTTGGGCTAAGAGAACGTATAACATATGGCTCTTCTAGGAGGGCTTATGTAACCTATATTAGAAGAGTTTCCTTCCAATTTCCAAAATGCCAGCCATCCAAAACTTGCCAACCATCCATACAGGGCTTTTGCAACACCCTCATTTACACTTTTCAAACATAACTTCTTATAACCTTGATGCTCCTGCCTGGCTCTTTTATTTTATGTTTTAAAGGATAGTTTACTTTTAAAGTAGTCGAGGAAGCACTTTTGGGAAACTTCAAATGTGTTACTTTAGAAACTGTCTAGATGAATTTCTAGTTTGAAGATATTAGTGAAATTTCTGTAGGTGGTTGGGAAGTTTGTTCTTCTACACTTGGCCTTTTTCCAGGAGACTTCCAACTGGGAAGAGTGGAGGTGAGATTATTTTACTTGGGGTCTTATGTAATGGTTTTCTAGAATCCTAAGCAGTTATTAATTTACCTTTGGCTAGAGAAACTAGAACATGGCACATGATGAGAATACCGACAGTTCTAATACTCTGTGTAGCACTGAGAAAACTATCTTTACTGACTTATTGAACTATTAATTAGAGACCTGCCCTAAGAACTAAAAGCAATATTATTTTATACTTTCCGTTCATATTCCTAGAATTTAATAATAAATCTCATTATAAAAGTCTTCATGTGTACCTGTGTGTGTATACTGTGGAGGCATGTTGTAATACACATGGATTATATATTGGGTCCCATTCCTAGAAATCATTTGATGATTATCATCGACCCTGACGATAGTTTGATGGTAGCTAGTTTTGTGCTTTTAAAATGTACCCCAAATGGGGACAAATTTAGGAAATAATTCAGTACAGGAATAAATCGTTAGAAATGTTCCATGATTGTATCACAGATTCTCACCTCCACTTGCCTCAATATTGTAGAGCTGAAACCTTTCTCATCACTCGGTTTAGTTTTAAACTGACGTAGTGTAATTCTTTCTCCAGCTCCACAGCATATAAAAAGAGGCTAGAGGATAATTTAGAAGGAAGTAGAGAATGAGTCAGTAACATTTTTGTACATAAAGAGACAGCAGGTTATTAACACCTATTATGAAATACTTTGAGTGGGAAGATAGTACTTTAAGCTCCCAAAATATGCCTAGTATGGCCAGTTATGGATCTAATATTCTAAAGCTGTGTGGAGCACAGTATCTGCTATGCGTGTCAAGTATAAATGGCAGTCTATTATTTAGAGATGTAAGGACAAAAGCAGTTGGTCTTGCTCTCACCTTACGTTTAAACAAATGGAGTTTTGTGCTTTCTGTGTCATTTTAAAGTTGGGTAAAAAATTGGGGAAAAAAAGTGGCATCTTAACAGAATGAGATTCTGGGTTCAGGAAAATTGTGGAATGTCCCCAGTCCCCATATCACGATATCCCATAGTACCTTGGTTAGAACAAATGCTTACTCTCGAAATTCTTGTTGAGTGACAGGCTGGTAGTCATCTTGAATTTCTGTAGAATAATACTTTTTCTCAAGCCTCTCTTTCCATTTTTTCATCTGCTCTGCACTTTGAATCTCCTGTAAAGTTAGAGGAAAAAGCATAAGCTGCAATCTTTAAATTTTTCTCTGTTGCAGGCCCATGGCACACAAGCATCACAGGGTTGAGAATCTTAAACTTTACTCTCCAGGGCTGTGATTTTGAGCCCCACTGGCTTTTTGCCCTGCCTGATTTTTGGGTCTATGCATTAGCAGAGTCACCTCAGAGAACTTGGTGTTAAAACTGTTTAGCAGAGTTAGGGGATTTTTAAATTATGAATATCGTCTTATTCCCTTTTCACTGCCTCTTCCCCTCTGCATCTCCAGCTGATAGTCTCCATTCTTCACTTGGCCAAAGCTGGGATGTTCTTTTCTGTACCTCTGTTCTATAATGAAGCAAGTGTACATCAAAGTACGTTTGTGGGTATTATTTGCCCTCCCAGCTGCTTCTCAGCCAGACTCCTAACAATTTCCGATCTCCTCTTCATAATTACTGCATCAATCTGTGTACTCCAATCTGTCTACATACCCCAGAATAAGCTCCTCATACCAGAAGATTCTTGCTGTATCCTTCTCTGATCCTAAAGAGCCCTTTCTGTGCTTTGTGCTCACTACCCACCCATTTTCCTTTTAGTGTCCAAATACCTTTTTCCCAACTTTAGAAAAAATGCTCTGTTATGTTATGGAAAATAGAAACAGCCCTAGAAAAAGAGGGAAAGAAGAGACAGTGCACCCAGATACGATGCAAAGACTTTTCAGTAGATCGGTATGCTATTGCCCTGCTCCAACAGTAATGTTAAGTAGCAAAGTGGATCCCTGTATAAGGGTTCTGATTACCTTCCTCAGAGAGAATGGTGATGCCCAAGTTCATACATTGTTTACCTGATAAATGGATGCTGTTCTGGCCAGAGGAGCTGTGCTATATATCAGAAAGTGTTTGTCTTGAAACCAACATATCCGAAGTAGGAAAGGGTGGTTTTCAATCTTTCTAGTTTTATTTCAGCCACATTACAGCACCTATGTTTTGACATATTTACCAGTACTTATAATGTGATGTTAAAAAAGTGGTGGGCCCCACAAATATTTCTAAATGACCAGGTCTATTAAAATGTGGACGCATTAGTAATATGCATTGAATAGACTGCCTGGTAAACGATGCATCCTTCAAAAAACTCATCTCAACCATCGCTTTTTCTATGAAGCCTTCCTTGACATTCACAGGAAAGTAATACCTTTCCTCATAGAGCAGCAACTATGTGGGGGCATTTGCTCAAGCTCCTAGGTTCTAGTCAACCCACCTCTTCCCTGCAGGTGGTAGCTGCTGCTTATAATTGTTTCTGGATTAATTCAGTGTTCTGCAATGGTTGTTACAGACCTCTCATGCCTCAGAAATGAATTCTGTGAAGTAAACCCCCTCTTTTTGAGCTACCTCGTGTGTTTCTGTTTTTCTGACTGGCCCCTAACTGATGACTGGTTGGTAGCAGAGAAGGTCCAAATAAACAGACCCTTATAGACAGCGTGCCTCCACCAAGGGACACAATTGACTTAAGAGTTTGAGACCGCCACCTGGCTCTTTGGGATTCCTCAGGCTACCGAACCAGCAGGCTAAGAAGTGATTGAGGTGACTGATCCCAATTACCAAGGGGAAATTGGTGCTGCTACAAAATGGGTTCAGAGAGGGCTCTGTTTGGAACCCAGGGAATTCTCTGAGGGGTGCCTCTTAATACTTCCATGTCTAAAACTCTGTAGTTTAAACATTAAATTCTTAAGGAATTGTGATTCGAGTAGAAAAGGTCGTAACGTCACCCAGAGATGGATACAATTACTCTTGGGACTTTGCTTCTCCACTTTTGGGGAGAGAATAAGAGGGCCTCCATTTTCATAGAGGATAGTTCTGTCTTATTAGATGGAAGCTAGAAATAATTACTGTCATTTTATGGAAGTACAGATGTGTACTAAACAGCCAAAGCGGGTGAATTCAGCTGACCGTTTAGCTAATATCTCTCAACTCAAAATTTGCCCTCCTAAACTCTTATGCTCTTTTATGCTCTTTATGCTGGATCTCAGGCTTCGCAAACCTCATTCCCTAGACTGTCTTGCCACCAGATTTGTTAGGTTCTGCCTCACTGGACGATGGAGGGGAGAAGGTTCTTCTTGTTTTCTTTCTATCAGCATTGCTGATAGAATGGTAGTTGGCTCCAGGCTGCAGTTGTCCAGCTTCTTTTGGCATACCCAGCACCAGCTTCATCATACTCCCTCAGAAGTATCAGGAGCAGCAGGGGTGGGAGGAGGGTGACCTCAGAGGTCTGAGCAGCAGCTTCAGGCCCCTTAAGTGTCTTAGGTTCCAATAAACCCACCTTTTGTAACTTTAGCCATGGGAGTGGTAGCATCCTCCTACAGTTATTACTTATGAGTTGCTGCAGTGTTTTTACTTTTTCTATTTTCCAATACCTGTGTAACCAATTCCCTGTAATAAATTTTCTCTGTTTGAAATGTATAGTATGGTTTCCATTTTCCTGACTAGGTCCTCATACATGTAATAAGTATGTCATTTGGTCAGGTGTATGTTTGCCTTTAAAGAATGTTTTAAATTTTTCCATATCTTGGTTTTAAACATTTAAAAATTAGTCCCTGGGCATTTTCTATTTTGTTGCTATTGTTTCTTCTATTATAATTTTTAATGAGCTGGTTGATGTTTGCATATATGACATGACTATGTAAATTATTTTTTCCTACTACTTAATCTCTTTTTGTCATAATTTTTCAGTTCATTGTATACCTGAGAAAGAGAACCATATCTCAAACAGAGGTAGTTTTTACCTCATCCTTTTCTACTTTTGTACTTCTCATGTATTTCTCTTAATTCTTTTTTTTTTTTTTTTTTGCGGTACATGGGCCTCTCACTGTTGTGGCCTCTCCCGTTGCGGAGCACAGGCTCGGGACGCGCAGGCTCAGCGGCCATGGCTCACGGGCCCAGCCGCTCCGCGGCATGTGGGATCTTCCCGGACCGGGGCACGAACCTGTGTCCCCTGCATCAGCAGGCGGACTTTCAACCACTGCGCCACCAAGGATGCCCTCTTGCTTAATTCTTCTGTCTGATCCCTCCAATACATCCTTGTCTTGTCCTTGACATGTCCAATGTTTCCCTATTAGATAAGGTGCTAGCTTTGGGGTGAGATAAATTTGTTTTTATCATGTCAAGGAGGAGTCCATTGATTCCTGTTTTGTTTTCCCCCTCAAAGTTGGATGTTGAATCTTATCAAATACCCAGCATCTATGGAAAATAATAGTTTTCCTTTTTTTGATCTATAAATAGAACGGATTATGGTAATTAGTTGATTATACAGTTTTGAATCATCTTCTCATTCTTTGAATAAGCCCTATCTGAATCATGGTATTGTGTTCTGTTGGATTCTGTTTGCTAATATTTAGGATTTTTGCTTCAAGATTTATAAGTGATATTTTGTTTTTTTAAATTAATTAATTAATTAAATTTTGGCTGCATTGGGTCTTCATTGCTGCGCATGGGCTTTCTCGAGTTGCAGTGAGTGGGGACTGCTCTTTGTTGTGGTGTGCGGGCTTCTCATTGCGGTGGCTTCTCTTGTTGCGGAGCACATGCTCCAGGGACGCTGGCTTCAGTAGTTGTGGCACACAGGCTTCGTTGCTCCACAGCACGTGGGATCTTCCCGGACCAGGGATTGAACCCTTGTCCCTTCCATTGGCAGGCGGATTCTTAACCACTGCGCCACCGGGAAAGTCCCTATAAGTGATATTTTCTTTTTCTGTTTTTTTTTTTTTTTTATTGAGGAGGATACAATCTTTACTAGGTTTTAGAATCACTATATAGTGATTCTAAAATTATTTTATAAAAATAATTTGGAAATTTTCAATTTTCTCTTTGCTCTGGAACAGCTCAAATAGCTTGAAATTATTTATTCTTTAAAAATCTGGTAAAATTTCCATATGAAACCATCTGGGCCTGATTTATTTCAGAGGTAGCTCTTTGATGACTTCATTTCTTCTACAGAATGGATTTGTTTAAGCTTTTAAAAATCTCTTTTGGGCTCAGTTTTGATAAATTTTATTTTCAGTTTATTGAGGTTTTCTTTTTGGCCCAATATATCTATTTTCATGAAGGGGTTTTGAAAAACAGGTGTATCTTCTTGGAGTACAGACTTCATTCATTATATATATATTTTTAATCCTTTCATTTTTCTTGATCTGTTCTTTACTTTAGTGTATTCTTGTATGTTTTTCCTTTTATAAGTCTAGTAGTCTTTATGGAAGTTTATGCCATATTATTTGTTGCATAGATAATCATAACTATTAAAATTGATCTTAGCCTTATAAAGTGCCCTTCATCTCATTTAGAACTTTTTTCTAGAATTCTACCTTGACTTATATTGTGTCCTCTGATAACTTTTCCTTGCCTTTTATACCTTGGCTCATGCTTTTATACTTAACTTTTCTAAATCACTTTGTTTTAGGTATATATTTTAGGCTATATCATAGAATTGGGTGTTACTCTGTGATTCAATCTGAAAATATTTTCTTTTTCTTTTTAAGTAAATTAAGCTTATTTGTCTTTACTGATATGTCAGATATATCTGGTCACAGTTATATTGTTTTAAGGTATATTTACAGTCTTCTACCATGTGGCATATTATAAGTTTTCTTTTTTGATTTGGTACTGCTTCCCTTTAAGAATGTATGTATTTTTGTTTTAGTGGTCTGTTTTTATTCACGTATCTTTTTATACATCCTCCGTCATCTCTTCTCGTTTTGGTTCCCTCAACAAGAACCAAACAAGTTCAACAAAAAAATTAGGTTATAATTTCTTCCTCCTCATTTCTTTTCCCTCTGCTACCCAAGTATATTTAATCATATTACTGTATTTTATTGTATCTGAGAGATGGAGTCTATCGTAAGACCATTACACCATTATTTTATGTACCACTTAGGGAAAAAAATGCCACCAGTTAAAATATGGCACATTGTCAAATATAAGGCACATCTTGATTTCAGAGATATTAAAATGTGGAAAAATGTGTTTTAAAATTAATAAAACAATATCTTTTTAATTTACTACTGTGCTCTTAAATATGCTAAAGTTTCTTCTTTTGGGCTATTAACTCTAAATGATAATTCTTCAACTTTTTAGCTATTACATATGAAATAATCAGTCAGCTTTTTTTACTTTATACCTTCTCTCTTCCTTCTTTTTTCTAAAATTTCTCAGTCATCTCTTGTTTGGCTGAAGACAATCCTCACATGGAATCCTCAGGAATACAGTGGTATTCCCCAAGTTCTTACATGTTCAAAACTGTTAGAGCCTTCATACTTGAAACACAGCTTTGCTGCATATAAAAAAGGCTTGGCCTACATTTTCTTTCCTTGCTATATTGTAGGTGTTGTTCTGTTGATTTATGGTGTTGAATGGTGTTATGCTAACCTAATTCTCTTTTCCTTGTAAGTAAATCCAAATTTTGCTTGGATAAGTCTCATGTTCATTTTAGGTAATTTTTCCCAGGTACATAGTATGTCTTTCAATATACATTGTCTTTTATTTCAGAAATGGTTTATTGAATTATAGTTTTGTTTTTTAAAAGAATCTCAAACTTACAGAAAAGTTATAAGAACAATACAAATAGTTTTTATCCTCTGAAGTATTTGAAGTTGCCAACATGAATGCCTTATTGTCCCTGAATACTTCAGTGTGTATTTCCTGCATACAAGGACATTCTCCTTTATATAAGCACAGTATAATCATCAGAATCAGAAAATTAATATTGATAGATTATTACCATCTAAATCCTCAGTCCCCCATTCAAATTTACCAGTGTCCCAATGATGCCCTTTATTGTAAAAAGATCCAGTCCATGATTATGCATTGTATTTGCCCATCTTTTAATCTCAGTCTGGTGTAGTTCCTCAGCTTTACCTTGACTTTCATGACCTTGAAACTTCTGAAGTCTATAGGCCAGTATTTCATAGAATGTCCCTCAGTTTCTTATTGTGTGATGGTTCGTTGCGTTATGCATCTTCGGCAGAAATTTTACTGAAGGGATCCTGTGTTCTCTTAGTGTCCTGTCAGGTGGCATATAATTTCAGCTTGTTCCAGTACTGATTAAGGTTCTGTTTTCTAGACTTTTTCACCGTAATGTTATTCTTTTTCTTTTTGTAATTAGTAAGTATTTTGTGGAGAGGTATGGAAATGTTCTGTTCTTCCTCAGACTTTTATTCATGTATATGTTTAGATCAGTGTGGACTCATGGAATCCTATTTTATTCCGTGGGTTTAAATTAATATTCATTAAGTGCTTAAAATCCCACACTTGGCCAGCGGGATCCCCACTCAAGCTGACTTTTGTGTCCTTTTAACAGATCTCCATCATTCTATATGGAGTACAGTATGAAGCACCTATACTTTCCAGTCCTGGAATTAACTGTATTTCCAAGGAGCCCTGGTTCCTTTTAGAGGAGAATGGTATTTGGAAACCAAGATCTGGACGCTCGTTGTGTCATTGCTACTAGGATGTCACTCTAGCCTTCTCAGTGGACAGAGTTAGAAGATACATTCGCGCGTGCGCACACACACACACACACACACACAGTTGCAATTCTAATCCAACACCACAAGGTTCATTTTAACCTTCAGCCTTTCCATTTTTGCAATTCCATTGTCTGATAATGAGAAACCTCACTGCATTATACATACTTGTTTGCTTATTCCAATCTCTTGACCCTGCTGTCCTCTTTCTCAATATATTGGGGGGTGGGAGGCATCCAGAAGTAGAGCAATGTTCTATTTTTTCACTTGGGTGGTAGTGGTATGTGGAGGTTTGCTTCATAATTATTTATTAAACATATATGTTTAGTCATTTGAATATATGTTACAGTTTTGAAATATAAGAAAAATCATTTAAGTGATTCAGCACATTAATGATTACAAGAGAGCAATTATATAATCATCTCAATAGAGTATACTCACTAAACCCTGTGTGCTAATCCCACAGTGAAGGTACAGCTGTAGGACAAGGGTATCTGGCTAAGAGCACCAATAAGAGAGACGGAGCATCTGGAATCCAAACAATTTGTCCTAAATAAGAAAGGATCTAGATTCTGGGAGAAATTTGGAGGTGGCAACTACCGCTCTGAAAAAAGCAAATCATTCAGTTCTTAAATCAGAACTTTTTCTAATAAAGCTATCACTTCTTTACGAGAAAATTAAAATCTTACTTTTTCATCAAAGCCTTCTCTTCTGGCTTGTTCAGCCAAATCTCTGCTTTTCCTACTGAGAATATAAAATAAAAATCAGAGGTATATGACAGTAAAAAGGAAAATGACAGTATAAAATATAACCAGATCTGTATTAAGGATCTGAATTAATTTCTGTTCTTTCTAATAACACTAATTAATTGGAAAATGTGGTCATTAATAGGTTCTCTATATCATATCTCTAGCTATAAAAACATGTTTCTATTATGTCCCACTGCCAGATTTTGACACTAAAATTATGCAATAAATGTAAGCACATTCTTAAATATTTTGTTTAAAGATTTTTTTACTTTGATAGCTAAAAGCATGCACTTAATGTAGACTAAAATCATTTCCTCCTTTTTTAGAGGGACTTTACTGTCCTGTGCAGCTTTGTGTTAAACCTTTTTCTGAGTGGCATGGCATGCCTTATATTAATTTTAAATTAGCTTAGAGTTTCATGACACTCTCAGAAATTATGAGGTGCTACTGAATGTTTTGACAGTTTATTTAGAATCAGCACATTGAATGGTGGTTGTTTTGCAATCAAAACCTTACTCTCACTGTAAGTTTCTAATATAATACAGAGCTTTAAAATGGTAAGTTAAAAATTGAAGAAAATTCATCTTACCTTTTCTTGTCTTCATCTGTTTCAGGTTTCTTTAGTTTGAGTTTTTCGAGAGCATTGTGGTAACTCTGAGCATAATTTAAAAGTTCATAAAAATAATATTCTGTATTGTTAATTTTTGATCAAGGTAAAGGAAATAGGGAATGCTTGACTTTAGGGACTGCTGCCCTAAAGAAATGTAGAGGCAAATACTATGATTATCTTTTTTCACCTTGTCACTACTTATGGTTTCTGCCTGCTGGTGAAAAAGCTGGAGGGCATCACACTTGAACTTGGAAAAAAAATCTTTAAAAAATATTATTAACATTTATTGCATTAATGATATTAACACTTTAATGCACATAACCAACATCATAATCAAGAGATAAAAGATGAAAAAACCCACAGTTAAGTTCATTGGGGGACATATTAATAGTTTACTTTTACAGATAGGTTCTTGGACAGAGTTCTTAAGCCCCATTAACCCCACAGCTTATAGGACCTTTTCTGTGTGAAATGCTATGGTTAGAGCTGTGGGTATGCAGAGATGGGCAAGATGGTACACACATGACTCTGCTACAGTTCACAGTGAGGTCGGTATTGAGAGGACAAGGAAGATTGCTCTGACAGGGAGAACAGAATGTCAGCGAAGAGGGCAGAGGGAATATTACTGGGGAGTCAGGGAATGACATGAGCAGAGGCCCAGAGGAGACAATGAGAGCAAGCATGGTAAACAGCACTGTGCTCAAAACAGCTGGGGCATACAGTGCTGTGAATGGAGGCATAGAAGGTAAAAATTGTATAGTTAGTTCAATGATAGTGAATAAAGATAGGTTGAGACTGTGAGATTAGAAAAGTCCCTTGAATGTTTGAATAAAGAATTTGGACTTATTTTGACAAGCCCAGGGAAACTTTGAAGAATTTTGAGCAGAGAAGTGATATGATCAAAACTGGGCCGGCACAGGAAGGAGGCTAGAACAGTTAAGAAGATGTTACCATACAGAAGTCCGGGTGAAAAGTACTGAGTACCTAACGTAGTGGTGGCAGTTAGAATTCAAAGTGTCTTTGAGTTCCACAAATGTGAGCAAAAACTACAGAGGTGAACTTTACACACAAGCCTTGGCAACAGACCATTATAAGGGACAAAGGAAATGTTCAAGGGTTTTGAGCCAGGGGTGACTGAGGAGAGTGTTGCCACTACAGAAAGTGAGTAAGGTAAGGCAAAAGGAGTTCTGAGTTCAGATTGTTCATAGGAATTTACCAGCATCTAAATTGAAAACTTTGGGAGGGAAGAGAGTAAGTGCTTTGCACTTAGTGCTCAGTAGCTTTTTGATACATTGAACTCTGCAATAATTTTGGTCACATTTCTGAAGCCAGAGAACATTTCTCCTGGTACTGAAATAATACAAATATAAGTAACCGTGGACCAAAACAAAAAAACCCAAATGTCCTCCCTGCACTACCACTTGGGGTTTAGGTGTTATTCAAACTACAAAAGTATAAACTGAACAAGATTGGTCTTAGAATTCTGATTGGAAGAATTTGACATACCTTTTTAATCATTTTACCAAGTTCAAAATCTGGCCTTCTGCCTATTGAATAGTCAGCTTTCACTTCAGAATAGGTATCATTAATTATTGCCAAGAACATGTTCTGGGGAGAAATATTCAAATGAAGTATTTCAATAAAAATTTAGTTTAAATGTTGTCAATGACTTTGACAAGTGCTGGGATTTGTAAAATTAGATTAAAATTTTAAAAGTAACTCATGTGCTCAATAAGAGATATGGCTATGCAGACTATATATAATATAGTAGAGTGGGAAATGTGTAGTGTGTGGATATGGGCAAGTATGTTTATGGTAAATGGGAAAAGCAGAATGTAAAATAGTGCATATACATTGGTTAATTATATATATATATATAAATTTATTAATGTTACATATCAGAAGAAAACTTAGAATAATATATGTTCATAAGGGTATTTCTTTTTTTTCTTTAAAATTCTATAGAGCTGTTTAAATGCACAATTTTACTAGGGCTCTTACAAATATTAATGTCCAGATAACACAAACAGAACTGTGGAGAGGGTATTCTTACTCCCAGCCCACCTCTCCACCTTTCACTGTGGCTCAGATCTGTCACTGTGAGGACTGTTGCCCACAATCAGGGGATAACTGCTGTGTGTGACAAAAAAATGTTTTCATGGAGGACAGTAGCAGTGCCTTGAGTAGAAAGGCAAGGTTCCTTGATTAGGAAGGCCAAATAGATTTGTCCTGAGCACATGTGAGAGACCCGTCCTGGGGACTCCTAAAAATTACAAGGGTGTGAGCTTTCATCCATAAGGGCCAAAAGCTGTTGCAATATGGGCAGAATATGAATGGCCTAATTCGTACCTACTGGTATGAAATGTCCCAGGCTGGAGAGACCTGGAACTTTCAAGTTATACGTGTAAAAGATTTAGTACACTCTTGGCACACAATAACTACCAAGATGGTAACTATTATGATCACATTCTCCATTGGACAGCTTGAAAACATTTGGACCCCCCTGGATTACTAGGAATCTACACCATTCTTAATAAATGTAAAGTGTTCTGACAGCTAAGCAGTGATACTATAATTTCTTCTAAATTGGTAATTATATTTTTTATTCTGAAAAATGTAAGCAAAAAAGGGGAACATATATGGTCATTCTTACCAGCAGGACAAAAAACACGAAAAAGATGAAAGTGATGAAGTAAATGGGTCCCAAGATACGACTGGCTTGCTGAATACCAGCAAAATTAAAATCTCCAAGAACAATACGAAATTGTGTGAATCTTTTATGGGAAAAAAGAAAACCATTAGAAAATACTATATCTCTTCATACATACATGACAACAGATGGGGGTTACTAATGTGCCTAGGAAAGTACCTAGCTGCATATGGCATATGTTCTCTGGCTTTAGTTTTGTTAGCACAGAGTTCTATAAAATTGGATGTAGAATATTCCCCTAAAGAAAGCCAAGACTTAATAGCTGAACAGATAGTTCAGGAAATGATGGGCTTCAGTTTATTCAATCAATATGAACCCAATGTTCACCTCCAAGATTTGAACCTTGAGATGCCTGCTTACCAGCTTGTCTTGACAGTGGCCTCCTTAGCCATTCCTGTGCCCTTATAAAACTTAGAATACTTTGACCTTTTCCAATAAATGATTTTCAACTTGTACATAGACCCAAGAGCCCTACAATTTCTAATATCAATGGTATGCTTAATTTTTGCATCTCTTCTGCTGAAATAAAAATGGCAACAATTTGTCACTTGCTAAGTCTCAAACAAGTGCTGGTAGTGATCCTCAAACATGATCCCGAGGTTTATTTTATTTTCTCCAGTAAGTATAAAAGCTTGGCTTTGAAGTGAAATAGCATTGAAAATACTATAAATCTTCATTTTATTAACTTTAAAGATAGAAAAATTAAGAAATTAAGGCTTTGAATGAGCATAGTATTAGCAGAGGTAGAATTAGGATTTCATAACCTGAAGTTTTATTTTGTTTTCTCATCATTAGTTTGCAGTGGTATTGCCATACACACCACGGATATATTATATATATATGATATATATATATATGAGTTCTTTATTTTAAGGGGAGATCTGGGAAGGAGTTTTTAATAGTATGTAGACACTTTGCATGATTGGTCAAAGGGCAGAATGTTTCTTGTTCCTTGTTGCTTTTGCCAATCACATGAAGGGGGCATAGGACTATGTACAATGAAGGAAGAAAATGTATTCAAAGAAATCAGCTATTTGGAGTCCTAGCACTCAGAGTTTTCTGGAATTTCATCCTCAGTACCTGAGACCTGACTAAATCATACATACAGTGTTTATCCAGCTTCTAATACTGGATTCTAATGCTCTTCTACACAAGATAGAAGGAGAAATGCTGAATTAGGAGAACAAAGTTTCTCAGCAAATCAAAAAAAATTTTTTTCCTCTCTGGCATAGGAGAATATGAGGTTCTGTTTTAGTGTTTTTAACTTAATTTTTTATCCTTAAGTTGTGTTTATATAAGTTCAAGTCAGCATTTCTCCTCTCCAGAAAGTGTCCACATACCGCTGCTCTGTAAATAGTGTGAATAACAAAAACCTAAGCAATTTCTGAATGGTTATAATCACATAGGAACTGGAGACGTACAAATGCCTTTCCCCTCCCCCTCCCCAAGCTAAAAGGAACACCATGACTCTTCAGGATACAGATTATACTGAATGAAAACACTGTTTTTTAACTTCTTGATACCCCTGTTAACTTTCTACAGTTCTCTCTTGTTGAATTAAAATAGCTTACAGACGGTTTCATAATAATGTACCATTTATGCTTAATCTGACTTCCCAGTCTCTCACTTGCAGGCATGACTGGGTGGTAGGTATTCCTAAGCCTTCTCCAAATATTGCCTCTATTCCACTGTGTCGTCTTCTGTAATTCAGGTTAAACATATATTAGGCCTTCTCATTCTACCCTTTCTGTCATTTTCTGAACATTTTGCCTCTCTGTGCCACTTTAAAATTTTTTCTCACCTATTTTTCATTTTACTCATTCTCTCTTCATCTATGTCTCATTTGCTATCAAACCTGTCAACTGGGCTTTTAATCTCAGTTGCTTTAATTTTCAGTTCTAGAATTCTGTTTGATACTTTTTCAAGTATGTCACTTTTTACACTATCCTGTTCTCTCTCTAAAGATATTTTCTGACTTGTGTTTTATTTCTCTAAATATAGTATTTATTGATTATTCCAATATTTGAAGTCTTTGAGTCTGTTTCTGTTGTCTGTTGTATCTGCTGGTTCTTGCTTACGAATTTTTCCTCCTTATGTACCAAGTTATCTTTGACCATGAGCAGTAAATTATACTTGAAGGGCTTAGGATGAAATATATTTCTCCAGAGAGGTATTTTTGTGTGTGTGTCTGCAGGTGCATATGGGCATTCCAGCCTGGGACCATCTTAATCCAAATTCAAGACATGAGGTTCCCTGGATACCTAGGTGACTAAACCCAGACTTCAAGTCAAGTCACTGAGGGATTTACTTTTAGCTTGAGGCTGTAGCACTTCAGGCTCCCTGCTTTATGTGTGGAGAGGTTATCAGACACTCCTCCTCTCCCCCAACCCCACTCCCCAGCACACACACACAGGCCTTGGGTTTGTCTTCTGTCTCCTCCTTGAGAGGTAACTAGAAACACAATTTCTCAACTGTTTCTTCTGGATCAACAAAAATGCCTTCATGGTGGAGGTTTTGGGGAAGATGGATTAAGAAGCACTAGGAATCTGTCTCACCACCTAGACAACAATCACTGTGGCACAATCTTTCTGATGAAACTATTTTGGAACTCTGGAGTCTGTTGAAGGCTTACAACTTCCAGGAAAGGATTGGGCAGTTTGGGTCAATTTAAACTTTTAGTTTGGCAGCAGCTACCCATCTTCTACCCCCCAGCCCATGGCAGGTAGCCCTGCATGTATTGCTAGAGCAGCTTGTACACAGCTTGTGGGAGCCAGGGTGGACAAGAAGGACCCTGTTGTCCAGACATCAGGGTCTGTGTTCTGATTGCTGATTGCTGCTTCTGATCACAGAGGCAGGCATCTCCCTGCATTGTTGCAAGCCCCTCCCTCTCCAGCTGAAGCAATGTCCTTGGGATTGAGAGGCCCAATGCTCTTCCCTCCTTCATTTTTCTCTTTTTCCCTTTTGGGAGCCAGATATTAAAGACTAGGACATTCATGGGGCTTCCCTGGTGGCGTAGTGGTTAAGAATCTGCCTGCCAATGCAGGGGGCACGGGTTTGTGCCCTGGTCCAGGAAGATCCCACATGCCACAGAGCAACTAAGCCCGTGCACCACAACTACTGAGCCTGCACTCTGGAGCCTGCGAGCCACAACTACTGAAGCCCGCATGCCTAGAGCCCGTACTCCGCAACAAGAGAAGCCACCACAATAAGAAGCCCATGCACCACAAGGAAGAGTAGCCCCCGCTCACCGCAACTAGAGAGAGCCCACGCACAGCAAAAAAAAACCAACACAGCCAAAAAAAAAAAAAAAAAAGACTAGGACATTAAAAAACAACAACAACTGCATATATGAGGAAATTAGACAGTCACCATGCATGCCCAAGGAATGGCACAGGCTCAGAAAAGACCTGAGAAGACCTTAAGTTTACACCTCAGGCTGATCCTCAGAGAACTAAAAGAAGACATGAAGTAAGTCAAGAAAACTATGTATGAACAAAATGGAAAAGCAATAAAAAGATAGAAAACCTAAAAAGAAACCAAAAAAATTCTAGAGCTGCAAAGTACAATAACTGAAATGAAAATTCATTAGAGAGATTCAAAGGTAGATTTGAATAGGCGGAAGAAAAAAAATCAGTGAACTTGAAGGTAGGGCAATTGAAATTATTGAGTCTGAGGAACAGAAAGAAAAAAGTTTCAAGAAAAGTGAACAGAGCCTAAGGGACCTGTGGGATACCATCAAGTGAACCAACATATGCATAAGCACATGAAAAGATGCTCAAGATTGCTAATCAGTAGGGAGATGCAAATCAAAAACACAATGAGATATCACCTCACATCCATTAGGATGGCTACTATCAAAAAACAAAACAAACCAGAAAATAACAATTTTTGACACGGATGTGGAGAAATTGAAACACGCACCGTTAGTGGAAAGGTAAAATGGAATAGCCACTGTGGAAAACAGTATAGCAGTTCCTCAAAAATTCAAAATGCAATTACCATATGATCCTGCAATTCTACTTCTGGGTATGTACCCAAAAGAATTCAAAGTAGGATCTCAAAGAGATATTTGTACACCATGTTCTCATAGCATTATTCATAATAGCTAAAACGTGGAAGCAACCCAAGTGTCATTGAGAGATTAATGGATAAACAAAATGTGGTATGTACATACAGTGGAATATTATTCAGCTTCAAAAAGGAAATTCTGACATATCCTACAACATTGTTGAATCTTGAAGACATTATGCTAAGTGGAATAAATCAGTCACAAAAGGACAAATACTGTATGATTCCACGATGTATCTTGAGTAATCAAAATCATAGAGACAAAAAGTAGGATGATGGTTGCCAGGGGCAGGGGTAGGGAGGGAAATGGAGAGTTCCTGTTTAATGAGTATAGAGTTTCAGTTTTGCAAGATAAAAAGATTACTGGAGATGAATGATGGTGATGATTGAACAATATGAATGTACTTCACTGTACAGTTAGAAACGGTTAAAAAAAAGGACATGGTTAAGATGGTAAATTTTATGTTTTATACACAATTTAAAATTTTTTTCAGTTTTAAAAAAAAAGCCTTCAGGGCAGAAGTAGCTTCGGATGCTGAGTGTACTTTTCCGGGTTCTTGCTTTCTGATTTTGGCCACTCAAATTTTTGTTAGTTCTTAAATGTTTCCTATATTTCATCCAGCTTTTTAAATTGTGAAGAGGTTGATTTGAATAACCTAGCACATCATTACCAAAAGCAGAAGCCCCCTCATTAACCCATTTCAAAATTTTCTATCTGTTTACTTTGTGCCTTATACTTTCTTTCCTCCCATTATCCAAAGTAACACAAATTTCCAAGGTTCTGTAAATTACTACATTTATATTTAATGTCCAATACTACTTAGTTTTATTATTAACACTTGAATTAAGATCCTAGGAAAGGACCAAGAAGTTGTTGGAACTGCAAACATTATTCACTCTGGATAAGGTAATCAGACTTTTCAAATTATAGGTCATTTGAAGTTGGAAAGGACCTTTGGGAGTGATTTAGTCCAGCCCCTTCATTTACAGATAAAGAAATTAAGGTCTAGAAAAGTTAAATAGCTAGTGGCAGAATTGGAAAGTAGAATTATATCCTCTTGGTTGCTAGTCCACTCTTTCCACTACTAATTTAGTAAAGGGTTATTCAGAAAAATATTATTAAATTCCATGCAATTAATTGGTACTTAGATAATACAGTATTTACATGTGGATGATGAAAAGAGGGCAACCTAAGAAATTTTTCAGACCAGAATTTACCCCAAATTGAGTAAAAGGGCCATGGACAAGTTTGAGGAATTCTTAACTAAAGGGAAAGTTATTGCAGTTTTTCTCAGAGCCATATGTTACCATGCACTACGAATTTCCAAGAGTGATGCAAAGTGAAGCCATTTCCCCCAGACGGTCTTTCTTGGTCTAGATTGCACAGGACACATTTTGAGAACTGATATTTTAGACTATCATAATTTTTTTACACAGACAGAACTTGTTTTACCTACTCAAAAATGAAAGTAAATTTATTAAAATTATTCACTTTTAAAGACAATATTTTTCTAGGGATTCTACCTAATCAGTTCTATAAGTTAGTTATCTGCTGATTGTTTTAAGTGTATAAAGCTATTTTTAAAATTCAGCTTTGCCAGATCAGCAAAGGATAATCAGGTCAATATCAATAAAAGGATTCTAAAGGTAGAGCCCTCTAAAGAAAACACTTAAGATTTCTTTTGCCCAGAGAATAAATACTACAGAGACATGGAGCCAGTTTCTTTTATCTTAGATAAAATTTTCACTTCTATTGAAAAGTAAAAAAATATTTTTCTAGCTTGACCTGGTAACACTTGAAAAGTGGATAACACCATCCATTTGGATCTTTCAATGCCTAACTGTACTTTGAGTGTGACAGCTATTTAGCCATCAGTGAAAATATCAAACCATTTTTTAATTTATTAAAGCTTATGTCAGTACTTATAGGCCTTTTCATGATTTTTTTGTTATAAACTGGATAAAACTGCATAAATTACATTTATGCTAAGAGCTTACATGGAATTTTGAAAAGTGGAAAAGTCGTCAACTTGTGATCCAAAAACAAGAAATCCTAACTGAGCGTAAGCAAAGAATATTATAAAAAACATGATGGCAAATCCTACTATGTCTTTGATACAGCGGGACAAGGTTGATGACAGCTGAGACATTGTCTTATTAAAGCTTATGAATTTGAATATCTGAAAAAGAACAAAGTTAATTGAAATAGGAGAATATTAAAAACTATAATGATTAGAGTAAATTAATTTCAGAAGAAATCTGCTTGAAATTAAAAGAGATGCTTCATAAAAAAAAAAAAAGAGATGCTTCATGACAGTTGGGGTGTTTGAGGATTCGCTGGCAATCATTACAAAGCCAAACTACTTTAAAATTTACTGTATAAAAAAATTACTGTATAGGTAAGAATATCCTTTTGTTTTTTCATAACTTTGTAGTTTAAGTTCCCATTTTATTATCTAATATAATAAAATATATCTAATCTGTTATATCTGATAAAATATAAATACCTTTATCCATGCAAAGAAGATGGTTATGGCAATTATATTGTTGTAATAAATGTGCCAGTGTGCAAGAAAATAGAAGTCTGAATATTTTTCAGTACTTTTTAACAGTTGTCCAAGCAAGAGAAAAGTTTGTATATTACAGTATGAGTTGAAGAAAACGGCCACAAAACACAACTAAATGGGAAAATAAGAAGGGTTAAATTAGAGATTACCTCTAAATCTCCTGCAGCTTATGAATAAACACATGAAAAAGTTCATCAAAATTCAACAAAAAGGGAGGGAGAGATAAGACAGGTTTTTACATAAATGAAAGTAAGCCTCAATTTATAGAAGTTTAACGTAGCTTAATTATCATAAAAGTAGCAAAATACTGACTGCCTGGCTATCCTAATCTATATGACTTTTTGTTTCTTTGAGTCATAAAACACAAATGTATAAAATGATTATATAATTCTGACTAGACTGTAAGAGTTTCTGCTCCATATAACTACATGATACCTAAGAGTTTAATATTTTTCACTATGTAACACTCCAAGAAAAAATTTTTTACAGCTCCAAAAAAATAAACCCCTTTAGAGCTTCTTAACAACTCTTTTAGAAGAGGATTTTAGAACCAGATTATTTTAGGTATCAGAGTTTTCTAACTGTCATGAAAATTTTCCTTTGATTTCTCTTCCCTAAAATACTCAGTTAAACATGTAATGCTATACCCTATGTTAAGCATTATTGTGCTTACCAGAGAGGTAGATGGCACACTTTCTGACTCTGAGAAACTTTCAATTTGGTTTTGAGAAACAAATATATATATATATACTGGATTGGCTATAACTAAGGGCCAATAAGAGTGAAAGATCAGGTTGTATAAGCCAGAATATTTGTTCATTGTTCCTAAAACCAAGCTCTTACGATTTGTTCCACCCTACCCACACCTCTATGTTTATTTTAGTATTTTCCAGTGATAAGAACTGGCAGTCTTTGGAGTTTCTTCAAGGATTATTTCCCCAATCCTGGTGGCATCCTCTGTGCCTACAAGCTACGCTCTGGCTGCTCAAACCTTATCCCCCCTTCAGTATTCTGCCTAGGCTTGTCTTTTGCCTATTTAAAAATTCAGTGTAAAGAGGAAAGCAGATTTAGGCAACATACAAGAGTACATTTTAAAGGACCTTGCCCCAAAAGAATCATTATTTTCAACATGAGGCCCTGAGAGGAATACATTTTTTTGAGTGGGAGTAGGGAGACCTTCTGTGCCCACTAAATCATAATACGTATGGAATCACTTATTCCTCTAGATTTATGCTAGTCCTGCCAAGGACCAAATCAGAGAGAAAAAAATAGATTTCTCCCTTTTGGAGGCACACCATTAGTATGTACTATGACAGTTCGTTTTATTATTGATACTTAAAGCTTTTAAAATAAGTCCTGGATGAGGGAGGTGCTTTTTAAACCTCTCTCACTGGTGGGCTCAGATGTGATTCCCTTCAACCATATCTGTGAATATATACTTACCACCAAAAGTAGTAATTCTAGCCAGTTCCAACTACTTTTGAAATAGGCAGATTTAAATTCTTTTATTTTTAGGACTTCTTGTGTTGTGAAGACAATAAGAAAAATACAAAATGTGATTTCACAGGAAGCAATAAAATAATCATAGTAGCTAACATATCTAAGGAGCTTCACAGAGTAAAACTGCCATGAAGTAAGTATTCCTCCAGTTGCAGGGAATTCTGCCACCAATCTGTAAAATGAGGTTTGTGAAAGTCACTGCATTTCAAGGATTTATATTTCAGTACCTAACGCGACTGATATTTCTAGTCAGTGATATTGTGTACTTTAATCACTTATTTTGTACAAAATATGTTTTCTCAGGGTTATGGGCTCAATTCATTACTATTTTTTTTAACATCTTTACTGGAGTGTAATTGCTTTACAATATTGTGTTAGTTTCTGCTGTATAACAAAGTGAATCAGCTATACATATACATATATCCCCAATTCCCCTCCTTCTGGCGTCTCCCTCCCACCCTCCCTAAACCACCCCTCTAGGTGGTCACAAAGCACCGCTTTGAAATCCCTGTGCGATGCAGCTGCTTCCCACTAGCTATTTTACATTTGGTAGTGTATATATGTCCATGCCACTCTCTCACTTCGTCCCAGCTTACCCTTCCCCCTCCCTGTGCCCTCAAGTCCATTCTCTACGTCTGCGTCCTTATTCCTGTCCTGCCCCTAGGTTCTTCAGAACAATTTTTTTTTTTTTTAGATTCCATATATATGTGTTAGCATACAGAATTTGTTTTTCTCTTTCTGACTTACTTCACTCTGTATGACAGATTCTAGGTCCATCTACTTCAATTGAATTGAATAATTCAATTTTGTTTCTTTTTATGGCTGAGTAATATTCTATTGTATATATGTGCCACATCTTTTTTTTTTTTTTTTTTTTCTGTACGTGGGCCTCTCCCATTGTGGAGCACAAGCTCCGGACGCGCAGGCTCAGCGGCCATGGCTCACGGGCCTAGCCACTCTGCGGCATGTGGGATCTTCTCGGACCGGGGCACGAACCTGTGTTCCCTGCATCGGCAGGCGGACTCTCAACCACTGTGCCACCAGGGAAGCCCTGTGCCACATTTTCTTTATCCACTCATCTGTCGATGGACACTTAGGTTGCTTCCATGTCCTGGCTATTTTAAATAGAGCTGCAATGAACATTGTGGTACATGACTCTTTTTGTATTATGGTCTTCTCAGGGTATATGTCCAAGAGTGGAATTGCTGGGTCATATGGTAGTTCTGTTTTTAGTGTTTTAATGAACTTCCATACTGTTCTCCATAGTGTCTGTATCAATTTACATTCCCATCAACAGTGCAAGAGAGTTCCCCTTTCTCCACACCCTCTCCAGCATTTATTGTTTGTAGATTTTTGATGATGGCCATTCTGACTGGTGTGAGGTGATACCTCATTGTAGTTTTGATTTGCATTTCTCTAATGATTAGTGATGTTGAGCATTGTTTCATGTGTTTGTTGGCAATCTGTGTATCTTCTTTGGAGAAATGTCTATTTAGGTCTTCTGCCCATTTTTGGATTGGGTTTTTGTTTTTTTTGATATCGAGCAGCATGAGCTGCTTGTATATTTTGGAGATTAATCCTTTGTCAGTTGCTTCATTTGCAAATATTTTCTCCCATTCTGAGGGTTCTCTTTTCGTCCTGTTTATGTTTTCCTTTGCTGTGCAAAAGCTTTTAAGTTTCACTAGGTCCCATTTGTTTATTTTTGTTCTTATTTCCATCTGTCTAGGAGGTGGGTCAAAAAGGATCATGCTGTGATTTATGTCATAGAGTGTTCTGCCTATGTTTTCCTCTAAGAGTTTTACAGTGTCTGGCTTTACATTTAGGTCTTTAATCCATTTTGAGTTTATTTTTGTGTATGGTGTTAGGGAGTGTTCTAATTTCATTCTTTTACCTGTAGCTCTGCAGTTTTCCCAGCACCACTATTGAAGAGGCTGTCTTTTCTCCATTGTATATTCTTTGCTCCTTTATCAAAAATAAGGTGACCATATGTGCGTGGGTTTATTTCTGGGCTTTCTATACTGTTGCATTGATCTATATTTCTGTTTTTGTGCCAGTACCATATTATCTTGATTACTGTAGCTTTGTAGTATAGTCTGAAGTCCAGGAGCCTGATTCCTCCAGCTCCGTTTTTCTTTCTCAACATTGCTTTGGCTATTCGGGGTCTTTTGTGTTTCCATACAAATTGTGAAATTTTTTGTTCTAGTTCTGTGAAAATGCCATTGGTAGTTTGATAGGGATTGCATTGAGTCTGTAGATTGCTTTGGGTAGTATAGTCATTTTCACAGTGTTGATTCTTCCAATCCAAGAACATGGTATATCTCTCCATCTATTTGTATCATCTTTAATTTCTTTCATCAGTGTCTTATAGTTTTCTGCATACAGGTCTTTTGTCTCCTTAGGTAGGTTTATTCCTGGTATTTTATTCTTTTTGTTGCAATGGTAAATGGGAGTGTTTCCTTAATTTCTCTTTCAGATTTTTCATCATTAGTGTATAGAAATGCAAGAGATTTCTGTGCATTAATTTTGTATCCTGCTACTTTACGAAATTCATTGATTAGCTCTAGTAGTTTTCTAGTACCATCTTTAGGATTCTCTATGTATAGTATCATGTCATCTACAAACAGTGACAGCTTTACTTTTTCTTTTCTGTTTTGGATTCCTTTTATTTGTTTTTTTTCTCTGAGTGCTATCGCTAAAACTTCCAAAACTATGTTGAATAATAGTGGTGAGAGTGGACAACCTTGTCTTGTTCCTGATCTTAGAGGAAATGGTTTCAGTTTTTCACCATTGAGAACAATGTTGGCTGTGGGTTTGTCATATATGGCCTTTATTATGTTGAGGAAAGTTCCCTCTATGCCTACTTTCTGGAGGGTTTTTATCATAAATGGGTGTTGATTTTGTTGAAAGCTTTTTCTGCATCTATTGAGATGATCATATGGTTTTTCTCCTTCAATTTGTTAATATGGTGTATCACATTGATTGATTTGCATATATTGCAGAATCCTTGCATTCCTGGGATAAACCACACTTGATCATGGTGTATGATCCTTTAATGTGCTGTTGGATTCTGTTTGCTAGTATTTTGTTGAGGAGTTTTGCATCTATGTTCATCAGTGATATTGTCCTGTAGTTTTCTTTCTTTGTGACATCTTTGTCTGGTTTTGGTATTAGGGTGATGGTGGCCTCGTAGAATGAGTTTGGGAGTCTTCCTCTCTCTGCTATATTTTGGAAGAGTGTGAGAAAGATAGGTGTTAGCTCTTCTCTATGTGTTTGATAGAATTCGCCTGTAAATCATTCTGGTCCTGGGCTTTTGTTTGTTGGGAGATTTTTAATCACAGTCTCAATTTCAGTGGTTGTGAATGGTCTGTTTATATTTCCTGTTTCTTCCTGGTTCAGTCTTGGAGGTTGTGCTTTTCTAAAATTTGTCCATTTCTTCCAGGTTGTCCATTTTATTGGCATATAGTTGCTTGTAGTAATCTCTCATGATCCTTTGTATTTCTGCAGTGTCAGTTGCTACTTCTTCTTTTTCATTTCTAATTCTATTGATTTGAGTCTTCTCCCTTTTTTTCTTGATGAGTGTGGCTAATGGTTTATCAATTTTGTTTATCTTCTCAAAGAACCAACTTTTAGTTTTATTGATCTTTGCTATTGTTCCCTTCATTCCTTTTTCATTTATTTCTGATCTGATCTTTATGATTTCTTTCCTCTGCTAACTTTGGGGTTTTCTTTTTGTTGTTGCTCTTCTTTCTCTAATTGCTTTAGGTGTAAGGTTAGGTTGTTTATTTGAGATGTTTCTTGTTTCTTGAGGTAGGCTTGTATTGCTATAAACTTCCCTCTTAGAACTGCTTTTGCTGCATCCCATAGGTTTTGGGTTGTCATATTTTCACTGTCATTTGTATCTAGATATTTTTTTATTTCCTGTTTGATTTCTTCAGTGATCTCTTGGCTATTAAGTAGTGTATTGTTTATCCTCCATGTGTTTGTATTTCTTTCAGATTTTTTTCTGTAATTGATATCTACTCTCATAGCGTTGTGGTCCGAAAATATACTTGATATGCTTTCAGTTTTCTTAAATTTACCAAGGCTTGATTTGTGCCCCAAGATATAATCTATCCTAGAGAATGTTCCATGAGCACTTGAGAAGAAAGTGTATCCTGTTGTTTTTGGATGGAATGTTGTATAAATAGCAATTAAGTCCGTCTTGTTCAATGTATCATTCAAAGCTTGTGCTTCCTTATTTATTTTCACTTTGGATGATCTGTCCATTGGCAAAAGTGGGTTGTTAAAGTCCCCTACTATGATTGTGTTACTGTCAATTTCCCCTTTTATGGCTGTTAGCATTTGCGTTATGTATTGACATGCTCCTATGTTGGGTGCATAAAGATTTACAATTGTTACATCTTCTTCTTGGATTGATCCCTTGATCATTATGTAGTGTCCTTCTTTGTCTCTTGTAATAGTCTTTATTTTAAAGTCTATTTTGTCTGATATGAGAATTGCTACTTCAACTTTCTTTTGATTTCCATTTTCATGGAATATCTTTTTCCCTCCCCTCACTTTCAGTCTGTATGTGTCTCTAGGTCTGATGTGGGTCTCTTGTAGACAGCATATATATGGGTCTTGTTTTTGTATCCATTCAGCCAGTCTATTTCTTTTGGTGGAGCATTTAATCCGTTTACATTTAAGGTAGTTATCGATATGTATGTTCCTATTACCATTTTCTTAATTGTTTTGCTTTCTTATTGTAGGTCTTTTCCTTCTCTTGTGTTTCCTGCCTAGAGAAGTTCCTTTAACATTTGTTGTAAAGCTGGTTTGGTGGTGCTGAATTCTCTTAGTTTTTGCTTGTCTGTAAAAGTTTTAATTTCTCTGTTGAATCTGAATGAGATCCTTGCTGGGTAGAGTAATCTTGGTTGTAGGTTTTTCCCTTTCATCACTTTAAATATGTCATGCCACTCCCATCTGGCTTGCAGAGTTTCTGCTGAAAGATCAGCTGTTAACCTTATGGGGATTCCCTACTATGTTATTTTTCCCTTGCTGCTTTTAATATTTTTTCTTTGTATTTAATTTTTGATAGTTTGATTAATATGTGTCTTGGCGTGTTTCTCCTTGGACTTATCCTGTATGGGACTCTCTCCACTTCCTGGACCTGATTGACAATTTCCCTTCCCATATTAGGAAAGTTTTCAACTATAATCTCTTCAAATATTTTCTCAGTTCCTTCTTTTTCTCTCCTTCTTCTGGGGCCCCTATAATTTGAATGTTGTTGCATTTAATGTTGTCCCAGAGGTCTTTGAGACTGTCCTCAATTCTTTTCATTCTTTTTTCTTTATTCTGCTCTGCAGTAGTTATTTCCACTATTTTATCTTCCAGGTCACTTATCCATTCTGCCTCATTCTGCTATTCATTCCTTCTGGAGAATTTTACATTTCATTTATTGTGTTGTTCATCATTGTTTGTCTGCTCTTTAGCTCTTCTAGTTCCTTGTTAAACATTTCTTGTATGTTCTCCATTCTATTTCCAAGATTTTGGATCATCTTTTTTATCATTACTCTGAATTCTTTTTCAGGTAGACTGCCTATTTCCTCTTCCTTTGTTTGGTCTGGTGGGTTTTTGCCTTGCTCCTTCATATGCTGTGTGTTTCTCCTTCTTCTCATTTTGCTTAACTTACTGTGTTTGGGGTCTCCTTTTCGCAGGCTGCAAGTTCGTAGTTCCCGTTGTTTTTGGTGTCTACTCCCAGTGGCTAAGGTTATTTCAGTGTGTTGTATAAGCTTCCTGGTGGAGGGGACTGGTGTCTGTGTTCTGGTGGATGAGGCTAGATCTTGTCTTTCTTGTGGGCAGGACTGGGCCTGGTGGTGTGTTTTGGGGTGTCTGTGACCTTATTATGATTTTAGGCAGCCTCTCTGCTAATGGGTGGTGTTGTGTTCCTGTCTTGCTAGTTGTTTGGCACAGGGTGTCCAGTGCTATAGCTTGCTGGTCGTTGAGTGGAGCTGGGTCTTAGCATTGAGATGGAGATCTCTGGGAGGGCTCTTGCCGTTTGATATTATGTGGAGCCAGGAGGTCTCTGGTGGACCAATGTCCTGAACTCGGCTCTTCCACCCCAGAGCACCATGACCCTCTCAGCCACACACATGTTCTTTTTTTTTTTTTTGTGGAATGCGGGCCTCTCATTGTTGTGGCCTCTCCTGTTGCGGAGCACAGGCTCCGGACGCGCAGGCTCATCAGCCATGTTTCACGGGCCTAGCCACTCCGTGGCATGTGGGATCTTCCCAGACCGGGGCACAAACCCGTGTCCCCTGCATCGGCAGGTGGACTCTCAACCACTGCGCCACCAGGGAAGCTCCATATGTTCTTTTAAGAGCACTCTTAAGTAACATCCTGATTGTGTGTGGTACAACTTTACTTTCGAACTGAGAGTTGAGGTGGATGGGATTTTTGCCTTCCCCAGATGGTTGAAGGTTATGATTTTTGTTTTTGGAAACCCCACCACCTCCTTATTTATATTATTATTTTTGCAAGAAAAGTATAAAGGGAGTTGGAGTGGAGGTGAGATTTGTGATCACGAAAGCCTTGGACGCCGTCCTCTCCGTCTTCTGCCTCTCTGTCTCTCTGATTAGTTCCTATCCAGCAGCAGATTGAAGCAGGAGATGATTCTTCTCAAGGTTTGTTCAGCAGCTTCACTTCTAGGTAAAGGCTTCATGAACCAAGTGACGTCAACAAACGAGGCTTCTCTCTCTCTCCTCTCTCTAACAATGAAAGTTGCTCTAATGGAATTCTGTTCTGCCAAAGGAAAATATTGCAAATCTACTTCTAGTCTTCACCCTTTCAAATTAATCTACCATGCTCTTTGGAAGTGCAAACTAGTCCATGTGAAAATATCACATGGAGTTCCTCAGCACCCATCAGCATCAACCACTCAACTTGTGAGTGGGTGAGCCTTCAGATGACCACAGACCCAGTCTTCAAGTCTCCCAGCTGAGGCCTCAGACACACAAAACTAGTTTCAACCTAGGTGCCAAAGAGCCCTAGCCCCCCAACTCCTGCCTGCGCCTCTGGGAGCCAGTGCCCTTGGCATGACGTCACTTCCTCCCTTACTTCTTTTTTAGTGCTCCACTTTTTTTTGGTACTCTGAAAATTCCCAGTGGTCAAAGACCAATGTAAATGAGAAAGAAAGATGTGATTTTTAGCTAGACATTCATTTTACTCTGTGTTTTGATTGCTCATTCATAACTGGGATACTAATTTATCCCTACAGGAGAACAAGATGATGTTCAAGAACATGCTATACTGTTAGTTACTGTTATTAGTCAGGACTCCCCCCACAAAATACATAATTTTTTAATATTTCAGAGGAGGGAAATACACTCTCCCCTTTTAGCTTATCAGAGATACTTCTTGCTTCTAAATGTCAAGATAACATATTTTACTAAAGCAAATGTTTTCTGTTTAACTTTAGGCACTGGATGTTGGATACAAAGATCTATATGCAAATAGAAATATAAAAATTAATTCCAATACTAAATATAAAAAGATTTTGAGGCAGTTCACTGTATTTCTAGTGTTCTCCACAACTGCAGATAATTAAGAATTGACAGTAATTTAAGGAACCAGCATCTCTATCACAATGCCATGATGTAATTATTCCTACCTAAAGATATTAGCAAATCTTATTGGTACTGGAATAAGGTGTGGCCCCAAAAGCAAAAAACCATGAAAACCAAGAACAAAACAACCAGTTAACAAATAGAAAACAGGAATTTGTTTTTACACCTTGTGTATAGTATGTGCGCAATGTTGGGTAAGTGAGTGAAGTGAAAGAAACTCAGTATTTTGATCTGAAGTGTAGACTAGTAAACAAAAAGCAAAAAATGATGAGTATTCAGTTTAGTTTGCCAGATATGTGTACAAAGGGAAAATAAGTGGATAAAGTCTTAGTGTAAGCAATATGCTCCCATACAACTACTGATTAGATATACTACCAGTTAAAAGTTTCAAAATCTGCTAAAGTTTCTAAGAAATAACATTTTAAAAGGTAGCATAGATGGGACTTCCCTTGTGGTCCAGTGGGTAAGACTCTGTGCTCCCAATGCAGGGGGCCTGGGTTCGATCCCTGGTGGGAAAACTAGATCCCACATGCATGCTGCAACTAAGGAGTCTGCATGCCACAACTAAGACCCAGCAGAGACAAATAAATAAATAAATATGCAAAAAAATTAAAGGTAACATAGAATAAGCACAAAACCTAGAGATAGAAAATATGGACTTAATCTAGTATTACAAGGAGTTCTTCATATGACTTTAAGCCAATTACCCCACTGTTTCTATTCTTATTTAGGACATAGAAGTGATTCGTATTCTTCACTTTATCCCTACCAGGACTATCGGGAAGGGTGGAAATGTTGGTAAGAAGCTGATTCCCTGAAAGAAAATACTATAACATAAAAGGTAAAATGTCCATTGGCTGCTGACGGTAATTCATTTGTTTTCATTTTTACAAATTTTAAAGGCCATGATTATGTTTCACCATCACTGTTGCACAGGAGAAAAATTCCCCTATCAGAGTAAATGCCAATTCCATATTCCAGAGTAAAAATGTAAGACTCATGAGAAAAAAGTGGCTCACTGAGACTTAGTGGACACTATTGTTTGCCTGTCTAGCGTTCATTATCCCATTCCTCCTTTCTAACAGAACCCTAATTGTATCAGGCATTCACCCATTCTCAGATCCCTTTGCAGAAGCCAATTCAATCCCCAGGCAGATTCAATCACAGTAATCCTATTTGCTTTGACAGTGTTTGGTTCTAGAACCCAGGCCTAAGCCAAATAGCATGGTCCAGGTTAGGCAGATTACCTAAGGTAATCAGACCTACAGAAATAATTTTTTCTCTTTGGTTGGTTCTCTGTCCTCCTCCTTGTGAGAGGGGATGTCTGTCATCTTTTTCTTGGGTCCAACAGGTTAGCCCAGGCACGTCTTTCTCATGCAATAGCAGAAGTGCAAGAGGGCAAGTTTTAATTTACAAACCCTTTTCAAGCTTCTGCTTGTATCATATCTGCTGACATTCCATTGACCAAAGAAAGTCACCTGGTTGAACCCAGTATCAAGTTCTGGGGCAGTGCACCCTGCCCTGGGTGACAGGTCACTGCAAATTTACATGGCAAAGATGTGAAGAATTGGGGCTATTTTTGCAAATCACCATCGGCTGTAATCATTTCTAGGATGCTGGCTACTGTTATATATTGTTTGAATTTTAAATTGTTCATTCTTGAGACAAAAATGAGTAACTTAATAAAGAAGCTTATTCTGAAAGGAAATCAACAGATTTGAATGATCTGATTTAAAGGAAGAAATCATTAGGACTAAATGTTAGATATGTCCAACTGCAGAATGGCAATAAATAAGACTACATACTCTTAAGCAATATAAAACTAACCTATTGTATGTAATTCTCCATGTTCCGGAACATATCCTGAAACAATGAATATGATGTTGCTCTTTCTTCTTTACCATTATTGGAAGAATTACATTATATTTATTTTGGAGCTTATGATTTTAATCTCAGTACAAACGTGCACAAACTGGAAACCTTAATGAGGGCTCTGGGTGCCTTTTAAATTCAGTATGCTAATAAGAGGTTTTGAGTAACTCACCTGATGATGCAAAACAGATTTACATTAGCATTGTATAATGAAAAATCAATAAAAATAACTCTAGTGCTTCTTGTGATCCAGCTGTTCATTCGAAGATTAATGAACTTGTTTAGGGTTTCAGATTTTGATTTTGGTAAAGTGAAAATATATCCCCCATTTCGGTAAACACCAGTAAATCCCCAATGCCAAGGGGAGTTGATAATAGGAGCAGAGTACTTCCATCTGTTAGATATAAAAAGAATAATGGAGAGATGAGAAAGCCTGACGGAGAAGTATCTAAGAATTTAAGTTAACCTTTGGTTGAAAGTCGTAGTTAAAAAAAAAGTACTAAGTTCATAAGTATTATAGTAATTTTGAAGTAAGATGGTGAGTTAAGGATTAAGCTAAAAGGATTAAGATTGAATATGTTTTCATTGTTTAGTGCTTATTGTGGGCAACACACTGGACTACATACTATGAGAAAAAAAATTTTTTTTAATCCATCTGTTGCCTCAGGGAACTTGAAATCTAGAAAATAATGACGGATTTTTTCTTTAACATGTTGTCTCTGTTATCTGACGAGATCTTTAGTCTTTGAGTAGGACAAAAATATCCAGGGTTTTGATTCAGAAATATCTGTCTCAGTATGGGGAAAAAGATGCTTCACAGTCTGTGTTTTAACGATCATATACCATTTATAAATGCCCAATAAATAAAAACTTTGTTACAATGTCTATATTGTTATATAGGTATCTTATTTTAATGAAAGTACACAAAGTAAAATCTGTATAACTAAATTTTGTTTCCATTCTTTCTACTTTTAACTTAGTTATGCAATATCAAAAAGTAAAGCTTTGATTCTTCATTTTAGTCCCTATTCAGTCTCCTAAAACAGATCTGAACAATTATCCAAAGATGCTCTGCTTAAACTTGTTTTTCTGTTAGTAACACCATGTTTGTTTTCAGCAGAGAAGAGAAAAGTGACAACACTAAGATAAAATACTCATTTTTAATGAAAATTCCATAGTTGTATGTTTGAGCATTTTCCATATGATTGTTAAACTGAAACAAGAACATTTATTACACCAACCCTCTCCTACTTCCAATTTTTTATACTGGTTTTAATTAATGAACGTTACATTTTAGAAAGAAAAACAAGCACAAATTGATTCTTATTTTGTTTGTCAGGAAATGACACATATTAAAATTCTAAATCCGTAATGTTAATTTTGGTATTTAAATTATTTGTAGTTGTTATGAAAATTTGGAATATTAGAATACTTAACAGATTAGTCTTGAGATCAAATTTAAATGTGTAATTAATAGTTGACTTATCTTGTAATTTTTCATGAAAGGGAAATAGTGTGTAGTACTGTTATAATAGTATAATATTTAAGAGAATGTGTCGCCATACTTATGAATTTATTAGGTTTATAAGAATTATACAAGCACTTTGTTGCCCTCAAGAACACCCAAAACTCATAGAAAGAAAAAATAAGTCAACAAAACCCACGAAGCAATGATCAATCCTAGGGGTAGAGAGGTAGTTGTTCAAGAAAGGAAATGTAATCACTGTTCATATTTATAAAATAAACATCGACTAATGATTAACAAAAATTACAGTATAACTACAGGCTAAGAGGAACAGGAAGTGTGTATGTGGAGGGAGTGGCATAAGAGGGATATATGACAGACACTTTCCATGACAGAGACAATAGATATATAAAACTATAAAATCAAGTAATAGTATAATATATTCTGAATATATATTCAGAAATAGGAAGTATATACAAGAAGAAACAACTAAAAGTGGCTGCTTCTGGAGTGGGAATTATGAGTAGGAAAGGGTGGACTTTGTAAATATTTCATCACTGATAAATATCAAATTTTAAAAAAGATATATTTTTTGCCTCTATGATTTTCATATGACCTTAAAAGCAATGATACCAGCAGCTTCTGTGTTAAGGGGAGGTAGTGTCAGTGGCTTTGGGCTTTTACATTTTCAATATAAAGTGTAGACGTGAGTCTATACTAGCATTAGCCTCAGCCACTTTGGAGAACAAAGGCCATAAGATCTTTGGTGGGTATCATCAGATGCAGTGTCTGTAAAACATAACTGCCCCTTTTCAACGCTGGCAACAATAGAAGATATCACTGAAGTAAGCCAGAGTGAGAAAGCAACAGAGTACACCAAAGACACTCCCTAGGGATCCCAAGAAGCATTTGGAATGTGTTTGAGGGCATCTTGCCAGAGCCAGAAAAGCTGATTGAGTTTTGTAAAAGCAAAAATGGGCGCTTTGCCCTGTGTCCAATATGACTTAGCACTTCATTTACCACAGTTGGAAAAAAAACACTTCACATCCTTTGGTAAACAAAAAAAATAACAGGTTGTGGACTTCCCTGGTGGTGCAGTAGTTGAGAGTCTGCCTGCCGATGTAGGGGACACGGGTTTGTGCCCCGGTCCGGGAAGATCCCACATGCCGCGGAGCGGCTGGGCCCGTGACCCATGGCCACTGAGCCTGCGCGTCCCGAGCCTGTGCTCCGCAACGGGAGAGGCCACAACAGTGAGAGGCCCGCGTACCGCAAAAAAACAAAAACAAAAACCAGGTTTACTCTTCCTTTTCTAAACACTGCATCTCGGAGTCTTCCTTTGATACTATTACTGAAACAGTCTCCTTACCTGCCAGGCCCCTGTTGGTATTATTTGGAAAATAAATATGTTTTCACAATTGTTTGAAGATACAATGGTAACTGCTAGAAAAAGTTACATGTAATTTTATACTACTTACTCAGTATCATATTTAAGGCCAAAATCAGACAGATCTTCATTTTCAGAAGTGTATTTGTCATAACATTCGTTCATCAAGGACCGAAAGGATGAATGGACCTTGCACGTGTTGTTGCGGACTTTTAGTTGACGGACTCTGGGGACTCCTAAAAGTATGTTCTCATAGTAGATGCGACTGCTGTTCTTTAAGTCATACAAATTCTTGTTATTGTACCATGAGTCCCAGTACAGGCCTTCCAAAAGGGGTCCTTCCATAAACTTCATATAGAAAAATAAATGTTATGGGAAAAATATTTCATGTCAAGTGTATAACAGAATCTACACTCATAATGTTATCCATAAGAATATAAAAATCAGTGATTTTAGCCAAGCCACCATGAATAATGGTAATGGTAAATGATGATGTTGATGATGATAACGAAAATGGTTAACATTTCCTGAGCACTTACTATGTACTGCTCTAAGCACTTTACGGGTATTAACTCATTTAGTTCCATAACCCTCCTTCTCCGAGGGGTATACTGAAAACTCTCCCACAATACATGAATATCAGGACTGGTCATAGCCACAACTCATGACTTCACCTCGAAGTTATCTGTGTCCCCCCTTTCCTCTCCAACTCTGGCGGTGGTGACTGCTTCTGTCTCTGTCACTATGTGCTCCTTCTAAGAGATCCTAAGCCTAGGGTTCATTTTTTTCTTTCCTGCCTTTGTCTTATTTGCCATTGGCCACGTACATACCTCAAGACAGCACAGTAAAAAAGAAGCAGTTGGGCTCCACTTCTTGTCTCAGGGAAAATTTCCTATCATTCTTTCATATTTCACTTGGCCTAAACCAATGACTTCTAATCATTTGCCTTATCTCACACTTCTCTCACTCTCAGGAAATGACATTGTCTCCTTGATAAGTTTCAAATTCCTAGCATGGCATTCATGATTAGACCTCTGTTCAATTCATAGTTTGGTCTTTTCCACCTCATCTCCTATATGCCTATAATGCCAAACATAGCTCCACCTGATGAATTACTTATAGTACATATCGTTTTTTCTTCCTAGGATGGTCTTCTGTTACTCATCCTTTAAAACTCAACTGAATTGTGATGACCTCTGGAAAGCCTTCCCTACCTCTTCCTTGTATGTCCCAATGTTTGTGACATGGGATACCTGAAACTGCTGTTCCCTTAATTTAATTGTTCTTTCCTCATAATGTGAACATCTTGCTAAGTTAAGTGTAACAGAAAAAACAAGTCTGTTCTAATGCTAAAGGAATGATACTCTTATGCAATTAAAAACACTATAAAATTATATTTTGTAAATGTACTCTTTATTATATACTGTACATTACTGTAACACACACACAAGAGTATAGGCCTGTATACCAAAATCACATATATTTTAATTTATGGGCAATTTAAGGAATTTTTTTTTTTTTTTTTTTTTTTGCGGTACGCGGCCTCTCACTGTTGTAGCCTCTCCCGTTGTGGAGCACAGGCTCCGGATGCGCAGGCTCAGCGGCCATGGCTCACGGGCCCAGCCGCTCCACGGCATGTGGGAACTTCCCGGACCGGGGCACGAACCTGTGTCCCCTACATCGGCAGGCGTACTCTCAACCACTGAGCCACCAGGGAAGCCCAATTTAAGGAATTTTTAACGGTAATTTTCACTGTATACAATTTTAGACTGACTTTGGATCGTAACTCCCACATAAGAAATCTATTTCCCAAATGCAACAATAATGTTAAGAAAACAAATATCACTTTTTTAAAGTTATAAGAACTCTATCACACTGAGAACACAGGTTCTCAATAAACACTTAGTGGTTGATTGATTCTAATAGTTTAAAGAAATGACATTTTTATTCATTCCTTCAATAAATACGTATCAAGTGCCTACTATGTGTGCCAAGGGCTTGTTTATGCAATGCCTAAAGCTACTTCACCCACAGTCACATGACATCTTACCTTCCAAAAGTCAGTTATGCTGCGAATAGACTTAAAGTTGATTCTTTCTTCACCATGCACAGACGTGTCCAAAAATAGAGATGACATAACTTTGTTTAAGTAATACATATGTGGGTTTACCATCCCAAAAGTCACTAAGGAGAAGAATTTTTTGTTTAAAAATTTACATTTAAAAACACAATTTTTATCAGGATTAAAAATGTACTTGTAATTTGTTCTCAATTTTGTTTTGAAAATTCAATTTTATTTTTCTAATTATAAGAGCAATAATAAAAAAAACTAAAATAGAAATATACAAAACAGGAAGAAGTTTCCTGTAATCCCACTGCTAGAATTAGGTTTGGCATATATTCTTCAGATTTTTCTAAATGCATACACACTTACAGAGAAAATAACTTTATTTTTATAAAACTGAGATCACATTATACATACTATTCTGCAAGATGGGTTTTTTTTTCCAATATTGAGAGTAGGCAACATAATATAGTGAGTAGTTTAGGCTATGAACTTTAAAATCAAACAGATAATGGTTTGAGTCCCACCATAGGGATAATATCTCCTACCTCATAGTTTTGTTATGAGAAGTAAGTGAGATAATTCATGTGGAACATTTAAAACTATGTTTTGGCACATGATAGGATTGAGAAGAACATTAACTAGTATTCTTTCTCACTCTTCCTAGGGGTGGTTGGGTGCGTTTTAGAGCAGGGTATATACTACATATGTCTTTTTTTTTTTTTTTTTTTTTTTTGCTAGAAGGCCTTTATTTTTAGAAATAATATATCTTCAACATCATTCCATGGCACACATGAGCCTATGCCATTCTTTAACGTTGCATAGTATTTCACTGTATATACCGAAAATTAAACAAATCCTGTTGGAGATTTGTTTCCAATTTTTCCTAGTTATGAAAAGGTGTTTTTTAAAAAAAATCCCTGAATAATGGGATTATGAGTAATCTTTAAATATTTTTCCACTCCCCAAATGGTTTGTAATAAGCAGTTAAAAAGCAATCTAAAATATCTTAATTTATAAGATTGGCTAAAGCTGTCTTTTTAATCCAGATCTGACTCAAGCTCACCCCTACAATACCAATTAATTAGTTAACCGATATATAATTGCCACTATGTATGCTGTACCAACATAAGTCCAGTCAGTGAGCTTGCATCTACTATATGTTGGGTGCTGTAAAGACAAAATGCTCTTTAATACTGATTAAGTCAATGATATTGACCCACAGATAGGAGGAATGTAGGTTGAGATGTTTTCTTGGTTCTCCCTAAAGATCTGCATTGATTCATATCTTCTGTGACTCAGAACTAGCATATTTTACTATTAACTCTGCAACAGGCCAGGGAAAAGAACAAAGCAGACATCAAGACTAACTTCTTAGGCCTCATTTGTAGTTTGACCTATGAAACTAGAGCAAAGCTAATGTATCTGTATCGCTCTAAAAGAAATCAAGAATTGGCAACTCAAGGGAATAACTATATTCAAGACAGAACTGCCAACAGAAAGGAATAATTAATTAAATCAGTGTTGACTATGAAAGCTTTTTATTACTTTTGTGACCTAAAGTTGTGCCCCTTAAGAATTGGAAATAATGTCAACCTAAATGAATTTAAGATGTTTAAAATGTGTCACTATTTTTTGAGAGGTTTCAGTAGTCTGAAAGCCTATGGTTTTATAAAATCCATATGTTTTGTTTTTCATCTGCACATAACTTCTTTGTTCAAACAGTGTCTTCATCTACATCTGTGTACTTACATATACATAAGTTTATTAAAAAAATAAGGTAGAGTAAGAACTCCTGAAGTGTGGTTCTCATTTCTACTTCCTTTCTGTAATGCAGCTTATGTTTCGGAGTTCCTGTGAGATATAAAACAAAAATTTTCCTTAATTTATAATATATATAACTAATAGGGATGGAAAAACACAGGCGCTTTTAGCTGCTTACACTGTGTGAAGGAAAGCTCCAATGGCTTCTGGTTATGTTTTTACTCTCACTTTTATGAAGAAGGACTAATTACTAACATTTTCCCATGGTGATAGTGGGCAATCATTTTATGACCGTATATAATGAATTTTATAACCCGGATGTTTCCTCACCAGTCTTGTTTTAAACTGAAAAAGCAAAATACAAAGCAAACAAAACCCCCTCCTCTGTCCCTAATCGTTTTCTCCTCCTGTTAACTCTGCTTCTTGGGATGGCTGGCTCCTGCTGGAGGGGGTAAAAGGACTCAGCCTGGAGTTCTGCCAAGGCCACTACTCCCTAGATCAACAAAGGCCTTCTAAGGCCGGCCTAGAGAAGGCCACTATACAGCATGTGGCAGCGCCCAGCTCCAGCTTCCGGCAAGGGGCGAGATGTTCCCTCAGGGCTTCACTTTTCCTGTCTGTGAAATGGGTCCACAGTTCCTCTCCGCTTTTCAAGGGGAGGCTGCGACGGCTAACCGTTCTGGAGGTCATCTCTCACGTGAATACACGTGGGGCTACAGACTTCCTTGCAGGATACTTGCAATTGCCCATTCTGCTCTGCCCCACCCCCTCCCTAGAGGAACCCCTCACCGCCTAGGTGCCACCGGGACGCCTCAGCCATGGCAAACTTGGACGACAACGCCCGTTCCGCCTCCCCAGGCTGGCGGCGCCTGCGCGATACTCACACGGTGCGCGCCTAGCTCATGCGCCTGCGCGAGCCCCAGGCTCCAAGACGGGAAACAAGCGGCGCTAGAAGATGCCAGCGCGCCTGCGCACCGAGGCCTTTACGGAAAGGCTTTGCGTGAGGCGGGCCTGAGCGTGGTGGCGTTTGTCTCCTGCGGAGGACCGACTTCTAGGGCAAACCTGGCTTTAGGCCTGGGGTTAATCATAAAAATCGTAGTAATTAATTATAATGGGCCACCCATTCTTGACTTTTAACATCTTTTGGCTTGTTTAGTCTTCACACCGCCCTTTCCTGAAAGGTATGTGTTTTGTCCTCGTTTTAGACCTGAAGAGACTGAGGAGAATAAATTACTTACCAAAGGCCCGTTGGGGCAAGGTTTGCTCGACGCCGAAGCCCGAATTTGTAACGAAGACCCCACTCCGCCGCTGCAGCTTGCAGATACTGATTATTAGTAATCGAGAGCTGTTGCTGGAAATAGCTTCCACCCCTCTTTCCACCCAGTATGGCTTAAGAGAACGTTGAAATAGATTAAAAAAAAAAAAAAAGTTCTGCAGTGTTAATGTAAAAGCGTTGCCCAAAACAGTAGTCTTTGGGAGCCCAGACTCACATCTGACCCAGCAGCTTTGCAAAAGTGAGAAGGTTTGTAAACAGCTATAGAAAAGGCCAAATTTGGTTGTAAATTAAGGCATCCATAAGCCCGCCAGAATATGAGGGGGGGAGGGGGGCAGGGATTCTTAGGTTGGTAAAAAGGAAAATGAAAAAGGAATTCAGTGGAAAGCCCCAGGGTAGCCAGGTAAGAAACCCTTCAAGCTGTTTTGAAAGTAAAAAATAAAGCCACTTTTGTTATTTCTCCGAAAGAGATGTAGGGTGATGTTGATAAATGCTGTTTCATGTCAGGTAAAAAGGAAAACTAGGCCACATAGCAGCGAGGGTCAAATACTACCAATGATAAAACGAATAGGAGAGGTGTAGCGAAAGGCCAGCAGCCAGTGGAGATGAGACCTGAGAAGAAAGGGCTACTGGCCTAGCTTAAGAATAGTTTAATACAAGGATTTGCCCTTTCCTGTACTTGGACTCTCAGAGGCTGGCCAAATTGTTTTCTAAAGTAGTAGGTTATCTGAACTAGAAATGTAGGAGGAAAAAAGCCCAAAATATAGGTATTCAAATTTACATTAAATATAAGAATTAGGTAGATGACTCTGCAGTCTATTCTTAATCCATTGAGCTCAGTAGACTCAAAGGTCTTAAAGAATTAGAAACCTATTTGGTTAAAACAAAATCACAATTTCAGGAGAGATTCTGTCATGGTTTAAGTTATTCTGGTTGCCTTCGAAGTGCAAACCGTAAAAAGTCTAGTTCCCTCTCTGGAGAAATTAGCTGTAAGTGAGCTTCACCAAGACAGGCTGTTCTAGAGTATAATATTGTTGGTCTCTTGGAACTTGTTATTCATAGGTTTTGCTGTGTGTCGCTTAATAGATACAAACCAGCAGTTTTATCTTAAAGATCTAGACTTTTGTGAAGATAAGACAGTCTGTTTTAAATATTTGAAATTTTATTCTCTTTTGACATAAAACTAAGGAACACTCAGATAATCTATACCATGTTAGTATTCCTATCAGAGAAAACGGGTAAAACAGTATTTAGAAAGCAGTACCAGTAAATCTTATTACGCATTAGATGTGTTTAAAACGTTGATATTCATTTATAAACTGTAGTTGTAAAATGTGTATGACTTAAATATTAAAATCCCACATTTTTTAAGATCTTCATCTACAAGTACAAACCCAGATTTTCTGTAGGCTTCACAAACCAGAGAGGTAAACAGAATGTGCAAGAGTCAAAGGATAAACGCATTATAAATATATATTAGTTGTATTACCTAATTAAAACCATAATCTGTTAATACAGCTATGGATTTATTTCAAAAATTTAATTGAATATATTGCTAATAGTGTAGTTGTTGTGTTTTCCAATGTTGGTAGAGTTATTAAAGTTCTTCACTTTCATAGAGTCCAGATTGAGCTGCCAGACGCTGAAACTCTCCTTCAGGGTTAAAAGCTTGTTTCACATCCAAACCTTTCCCGTTAAGTGCTAAATATTTGCTGAAAGTTGGTCGGACACGTAACTGCTTAGGAGCTGGAGGAGTTTGGTTTGGACGGGCTGAAATGGATCAAATAAACGTTAATTTAGAAAACTTGTCCTAAACAAATGGGTTGCACTAGGTAGTCATTATCGGACAGGGAGAGAAAAAAAAATCAAAACTGATTATGTATGGGGAGAATCCTTCAGAATTTATGCTATGCTTGAATTTATGTTTCTTATTAAATCTTTCCAGTTAAGTTCTTTATAACACTTGACATAGCACTGTATAACAGCGTGAGATACCTGTAACATCTAATCTCGTGTTACATGTGGTCACTCCAGCTTCATTAACTGCAGACACAGTATACCACCCAGCGTCTTTCTTGTTTACATCTTTTATCAGTAAAGTAACTCTTCCAGAGTTATCATGATATAAACTGGAAAGAAACAAAAATTGAAAGTAAAGGAATTAGTTTTCCTGTGAGAATTTATTTATGATGCCTGTGACCTACAGAGTCAGACTAATAGGAAGAAAAAAAGCATTTGGAAATTCTGAGTCTGTAGCTAGTCATTGCCAAATAGCTATGGGTTTTTTTGAATTAAACATCCCCTCCCCAGTCTTGTTTGTATCATATTTCCTTGAGCCATCTTCTTTTATTGTTAGTAAAAAGGTAAATCCTAGCCTACTTTATCCCTTAAATTTCTGATTAGTGGGATCTGGCTTAATGAGGCTTATTATATTTCTATATATATATATATATTTTAAAAGTTGAAGTATAGTTGATTTACAATATTGTGTTAGTTTCATCTATATGTTTTTAAAATTAGACAAATTGAGGTCACAGATGCATGCCATTTATAATACATTTCAAAGTATAACTGGATTCACCCAAGTACAGTATAGTTAAGTCTAGAAATACTTATCCTACCTTATTCGATCAGTGTTGAATTGTACCATTTCATTATTTCTTTTCCAGAAAAGCTTTGGTGGTGGTATAGCTGAGATTTGGCATTCTAGCTTCACTGAGTCTCCCTCAAAAACTTTTTTACTCTGTGGTTTGTAGATGAACATTGGTGCTCTTCTATGTTCTTTTGCTACATATTAATAAAAAAATCACGTATTTGAAATATTATAAACAATATTAAGTCAAACCAAAGTATTATGGAGTTTGTATGCTGATATAAAAGTTTAAAAAAGTACTAACGACAGGATTGGAAGCTTTATGTTTCAGCTGTAGTTAAAATAATATGGAATACTGTTGTATATTGTATACTATTTATAGTTCTAAAACAGTAATGTAATGATGCGTTGAATTTATAATCATGTTTCATTGGAAGAATTTAAGTCAAGTTGAGATCATCTCAGCTATAGAGAGGCAGCATGAGTGGTGGAAAGAGTACCAGCAACTTGGGTTTGAATTCTGTTTGCCCCACCAGTCATGCCACATTGGGGAAAATTTTGTTTAGTTTCTCTGAGGCTAAATTTTATCTATTGTAAAATGATACCCAAGAAATAGTTACTGCTCTGCCCACCAAAGCACAAAATTATTGTGAGGATCAATTGCGATAATGAATGAAGATGCACTTTGTAAACTATAAAATAATATACAAATGCCAATAATAATTATGTCTTTAGTTTTCTTCAAATACCTGAGGGAAAAGAGGAACTGATACTATAATACTATAACCCTAACTTTTCTGAAGGAGTAAGGAGGAGATTGGACGGATGCCTGATAAGTCTTTTTCAGCTCTAACATTATAGTATTTTTGGAGCTATTGGCACAGAAAGGATTTGCCGTAAGCTTAATCACTTGGATTTTGTGTGTGTGTGTGTGTGTGTATAAATTCCCAGATCACTAGTTTTTCCCTTAGTCTGAGGGCCCTTATTATATCATAGAATAATCTTAAAGATTTTTCATTCATCTGGGTAGAATACAAACTCAAGATTGCCCATCCTTGAACTTGATTAAGTTTTTATATAATAAGCAGTGAATTATAGCAAAATATCGCTTATGCAGTATATTGTGGCTTAAGTCATTGCAAATGTGATATATTTAGAGCACTTGAATTGTAATATTTTAAGACAGGACATTAGTTTTATGAGAACTGCCCTACTAAAGACAAATTTGAGATATGAGTTTTACCATACTTGTTTTCTAAAGCAAGTAAGCATGTTTTTGTTGTCATAATTAGAGACTAGTTTCCTGGTAAACAGTGCATAGTCTAAGGCTAAAAGTTGACATTTACCCTTCAGTTTTAAACTATGTGTGATTATAGCAATTCTGTGAAAATGTGAGTCAGATTGATTATTTTAGACTGTAGACCAGATAAATGATTAGACTAAAAATTTTCATATTAAGACCCTTTAATCATATCTACAAATACTGTACATCTACTGTACATCTAGAAATATATCTAGAATATACTACCTTCTTTGGTCTGTCTGAAATTTTACCTTTATTTCTCTTCCAGAAAAGCTTTAGTGGTAGATCTGTCATTCTAGTTTCACTGAGTTTCCCTCAAGAGCACTAACCCCTGCCCACTGTGGCTTTTACATAAAAATTCGTGTTCTACTGGGTTGTATAGTATAGACATTAACCTTAAATAGAAAGTCCTTGGGGTTTTTCTTTTTTAACACTTTCTTATTTGATTCTACAAAGTTTTAAGGAGCTCTGTAGGATCTCTTTGAAAGCTTACCCAGGACGTCCAGCTGCACAGTAAAGGTGGCTTCTCCTGCTCTGTTCTTGGCAACACATGTATAAGCCCCTGCATCTGAAGCTCTGACCACTTCGAAGATGAGTGAATGAAAACCCTTTTCAGACACTATCATTTTGTGAAAATCATCTGATTGAACTGGTTGTCCATTTAGATACCATGACACATCAGGAGCTGGTAGTCCACTAAC